ATTCCATTGAACCCGGTTGCCTCTCCTCTCCGTTAAATATTATTATGCCAAAGGTGATTTCTTACTCCTCTCTTTTTGTTTGAGTCCATTCCAGCGTGGTAACAGGCAACTAAGCGCGGATGCTGCACGAGAACAAATTTTTAGCATACCGGAATATGTAATGTTGGATGAAATAATCGGCACAATCAAAACAAAACTAAATTTTTTAAATCGTTTTAATGCTTCGTACATAACAATATACGTAAAAATTTCATAAAAGTTAATTTCAATTTTGAAGTGACAAGACTTCTTGCACTTAAACGTTTGATAGTGTCTATTTTTCATACTCGGTGTCAGAGGAAACTACTTTGAGGAACTTTTGTCATGAATCAAAATTATTTTAAAATTTACTAAATAATTGTACATATCGAGAAAAATAAATGGAATTAATATATTAGCATAGAGTATTTTGCATTCCAAATTTATTATTATTATTATATATTGTAATGTTTTCTAAAGATAAAATAGAAAGCGTTGAGGAACTAATATTTTTTTTTATTATCGGCAATGTTTTCGACATTTTTACGTATGAGCGAATAATACAGATAATTGATCCGCTAACGATTTAAAATAACGAAATGCACTTTCATTTCAGATGTGGCTATAATCTGGCATGTAGGCGAGAATGCGCACCCCTGCCGAAATCGAGATCCTGGCCCAATCCAAAATGTATAATCTGGAAACTGAGGAAACAGGGATGTCCGCGGATGTGAACGGAGTGGTCTTGTCATCTCCTCATCCGGAGACTCACATATTCACTAACAGGTAATTTCAGTGTTTATTGTTAATTCTGAAATGAAAGATCTCGATCTTTCTCTCTTTCTCTTTCTCTGTAACATAGTACTCTAAAAAAATGTCGTTTTATCTGACAAGAAAAATATCGGCTAAAATATGTATAGAAGTATAAAAGTATACAAAGTTGTAATGAAAAAGTAAAGGCGATATATATCTTTTATATATCTTTTATATATCTATAGAGATATAACATTTATTGAATTATTTATAAATTATTATCGATGCAGATACCAATCAAATATTAGTCTTAATTATATAATATCCTTGTGTTCTTTTATATTATACATTTATAGATTCGAAATAGCGCGCCTGTCCGCGTTGTCTGTGCTCGCGCATTACGTATTATGTCGCGCACTAACGAGCGCTGTCACGCGTTACGGCATGTAGCGGTGTAGCGGTATATCAGAGCAGATAGGTCGAACGAGAGATAAGAAAGGTGTGAGAGAGAGAGAGGGAGAGAGACAGAGGAAGAGGAATGAAGATAGTTTCTCTCGGTGCTCTTCGTAGTCTCCAGTCTCCACTGGTCTTCGCACATCAGTAAATGAGAGATACGCTTTGTGCGCGGTGTGTCGCTTCGAACCCTCGTCTTCGAAGCGTTCAATGATCGGTGGTGCGACTATACGACGACAACAACGACATTCGTCGTCTCATTGCGGGATACTGTGTTAGTGTTAGCTCTCGTTATACATCCATATGCTATTCGCGACGTGATGGTACTCGCGCGGTTTTTCCTCAAGAAGCCAGCGGCGCAAAACGACGACGACACCGCCGGCGATGTCGCCGCCGTCGCGGTGATATCCGGCAATGTAGCCAGCGCTACGGCGAAAAGGTGAGAGCGGATTCCCCGGGACACGCTTATTTAGAATAATATTGCGCTTTCGATAACGATTACACCGTCAAGAACGGCGCGGCTCCGTTCTCGCTCTCGCGCCCGATGTTTCCGATTTATTATCGGCCGTCTCGATCATCCGCGATGCCGAATTCCTAACTGTCCCTTGAGAAAGTGACATTGCCTTATAAAAGGGATAATCTTCCCTTCAGTGTCTTTGATTTGTCTCGATTCCCGAAATCGAAAGACATGAAACTTTAGATTGAAGCTTTTTCGTTATTAATTATACTTTATGTGTTCAGTCATTGTGTTCCAAAAAGACATCTATAAAAAATATCTTATAATTTTTTTAAATATTTTCGATCAATACTTTTCTCTCATTATCACATTTTCAGTAAATATTAAATATATTTAAATTTTTTAAAATATGTATGTCTTAAGCAAATAAGGAGAAGCCTCTATTTCTCTCTCTCTTTCTTTTTTTCTCTCTTGCTATCTCTTGTTTTCTTATGAAAAATGTTTACGTCATTAGTTTAAAATATCGTACTCTTATTGTATGTAATTAAAAATTAATAAAAATATCGAGGAACGGGAAAAGGGTACTTGGATTTTCACATTGGCAACATTACGCTACGTGCTCAATTAATAATATTGGAATAAATTGATTAATTCGGAGCAATATAAAATACATAAAATATGTAAAATATAAAATTTAAATAATATAACACAATGATGAACATAATACCATTAAAAAATATGACTGGGAAATCGATCGGCCGCAAATCTTTTCAATTAAAAGTGAAAAAATTAGTAAGTCAAATACATATTATAACACTGTATACGTATAGAAATTTATATGTATAGTGAGATGAAATTGCGCGTCCAATACGGCGTATCGGGCGTAATGTTTACGGCGACGAGCACGGCCCCCTCTCATTGAGTGACGCCAGCAGACAGCTGATACGAAGGCCATGGTAAAAACGTGCATGCACATGCACGTACTGTGCGTTTACTTGACTCGCGTTCGCTATGCAATACGTACGTTAACGCACTTCGGCTTCTTGCATGCACGCGGATGGAGACGAGGATAAGAGAAGAAAGGATAAAAAAGGACTGTTTGTGTATGTGAAAACAATCGTCTTATCCTAAAAAACCGACATGATCCTTTGCCAAGGGCACTGCCGCTCATGATTTCAAGACCACTTTCACTCCTTTAAATGGATATATCTTTTACGGACCGATATCCTTATATAGGTTTAATCTCTCTCTCTCTCTCTCTCTCTCTCTCTTGCATGGATTAAAAAATGGAATAAATATATGCAAAGTAGCAGCGATTTATTCTTTTCAAGGAAATTTATTAGGAAATTAATATGATATATAACATTCCAATAAATAATCGTGTTGAAAAATCTTTTTCTTGATTTTTTTTACTTAATTTTCTTTTGCTTCTATTAATGTGTGCGTATTCTTTCCCAGAGAGATTTAAGATTAAAATCAAAAGTTTTGACCACCGGAATTTCATTGGTAATAATATCAACGTCTGAAAAATAAGCTAGCATTCCGACGACACGACATAGTATAACATAGTGATTGTCGACTATCATCAATTGAGCACGTGGTGTGATAATATCGGCATGAGAATACAAGCAATACGTCGGTACTTCTTTGATATTTTTTTACGGCCCACTTTTTCTATTTTTGCTACCGAATATATTGGCTATGACTTATATAAAATCGGATAAAATTGTCGCGCGTTTATAGGCAATTCTTTTTCTGTGGAGCTTCGCGTGCTCTGTATCGGTTATCAATAAGATCAACAGCTGATAGCTAATTCAAACACAACACTCGGACTTATTTATACAATTCCCCTTTCATACGCGCGCGGAATTCCTTTTCTTTTTTAGATCTTGCGTCACGTATAGTATAAAGAATATATCATCTTGGCTAGATGAAATTTAAATTAACTTTTTATACGAAGTTATCAAAAAAAGCGATTAAATAAAGAATGTCATATTCCTTTTTTTTTTTTTTAGTTCTGATTGACTCCTATTTAACAGTAATAATCCGGTAATAATTCTTCGGATGAAATTCTAACTTTTTATTAAAAATGTACAGTTTTAGAAAAGCCTAAAGAAGGAGTTAAAATGCGTGTTCGTTTTCTTGTTAAATTTTTTAATTAATTACGATCGGTAAAGTTCTGCTATTTATTGATGTTGATTTCACTTATTTACAGAAATAATCCAGAATTGATAAATGTTTTTATTAGATACTTTATTAAGACTCTTGGTTTCTCACTATAATCATATTAAATTCTGTTAGACGCAACAAATTAAGTAAAGTTTTTCTTGTGAAATACATTGAAATAAATTACTTTTTCATATGCCATTGCACTCTTGATAATATAGATTAGTAACATATGGCGAATATTCTTTTTTTGATGTATGGATTGATAAATAGCTGTAAATCTTGATGGATTGTCATAAGATGTATTTTCATTGTATGTGATATGTAGGATACATACAGATTGAATTATACATGAATTTAATATCGCAAGATGATAAATCGAATCATGTAATTCGACAATAGCTGTAGTAAAAAAACGGGAGCCTTAACATTTCAAAATTTAATGAGCATGTAGGTTGATATACATAATTGCAGATAATGTTATATGATCTGAAACAAATAAAGGAATCCGCGTGATATATATGCAGTTTACATAAATAGATATGTTTTCAATGCACAGAGATATTCTCAAAGGTGAAGCAAATATTATCAATAGAAGACAAAGCATTTATTTAAAAATAAAGATAAATTCTCTTCCTTATTATATTTGTACATTATTATATAAATATAATATCCGGATAAGTTTGTTTACATAGATTTTTTTTTAAAGATACACTAACATGTATATTTCAGTAAATTTGATTTTCTCCGAATTGACTAGGTCTGTTCGTAAGACGTTAGAAAAACATAGTAGAGCGTGACTGTTACTATCAGTTAAGAGTTAAATTTAGGAATGTATAGTTGTGTCGTGCAATATAGTCGCACATAAAAAGCGCAATCGATATTCGCGTTGCACGTCACACATTGTTACATTCCACTCAAAGGTTTGCTACGATCGCATAACGAATGAAACGTTTGATAACGTGATATGGTGTTATCAGAGCCGGTAATATGAATCTTCACAATGAGAGTATAAAAAGTTGCATCGGATTTATCGAAATTACAGTGGGCGTGACATTCCTTTGCGATGCAAATACGATATCGTTGTTCGAGTATAGAGGGTGTCTAACAAGCGTCGATCTTAAGTTTGATAATAAATTTTTCGATGAATCTGGCGCCAAATTTCTCGAAAGAAGTTTTCGAAAAATTTATTATTTATCACAATTTTTTAATAATAGGTGGTGAATTATAATTCAGGAACAGAAGATCTAATCGAATTGAAATAAGCGACATGATCCTGCACCTAAATTTGCAAAAGCTCAAAAAATCTATAGAGATCTTTTTCGTAAAATGTTTTTAATTTCAAATCCAATATCTTTATTAGTGCTTTGATATTTCAATAAGGGAAACAACAATCAATCAGAGCTATGAGAGTTGTGTGCTTTGAGAGTTGATGCTTCATAGATGAACACTAATGTCCCATCGGGAATAATGAAAGGTTATTTTTGCTTGTCAAATGCGATCGTATTCACAGAGAGGAAGTGTATTCACCACCTATTGTGTTGGCCGTGAAAAGTCATTGACACAAACGCAAACCTCCACACTATGTGTAACATTGAAAAACGTCTGTGAACGATGCAACTATGTACTATCGATATCTTCAGGTGTTCTTTGAATAGAATAAAGCGATTTTTGAAAAAAGAGAAACGTAATACTAGATTATTTACGGATAATAAATAACGAAAAGAATAATGACATTATTTTTTTAAATGTTCCTTTTTAGTAGTATTTCGTTTTGAAAATTATAAAAAGTGATGAATTGGTATTAAATCTTATTCCGATTACTACTCTTAAGAGTAACTTGAAAGTCTGTTCCACTTGTTATTATAAATCAGATTATAGTTGATCAGGTAATAATTGAAAGATGCGAAAGATGCTGAAATTTCAATATTTCTAATACAAATATTATTTCGATATCGTGCATTTTATATAATCTTATTACATCGATATTGATATTTATATCTTTTATATCTATGTTGAAAATAATCCAGAATTCAGTGATTTTAATTAAATACAAGTAACATTTGTAAAACGCAATTAATATAATCATGTACTGAATAGCATTAAATACACAAGACAATTCGTCGATTGATATCGCTGACGTGACTACGATACATACGTCATTTCTTATCGTTCATCGGACTGCACAAAGATAAAATTACATGCGATCAATTCGTTTTTTTAGTGCAAATATAACGAACTTATATCGAGATAAGTCTCTCTTGGTTTTAAATTGATAATTTTTCGTTTATATAATATGAAAAATTTATTAATAGTAAAAATATAAGATCTTCTCTGTTATATCATTGCATAAATAAACTACTTCAAAACTATTCCAATAAAAGAATTAAAACATTAGAAAAAGTAAATAAAAAATAAATAGAACATTAAATATACGAGGACTATTCGGAAATTAACTTCCAGTAAGCTTACAAAATAAAAAAACAAAAAAGAAACAGGAAAAACATTTTATTAGATACAAAATTTACTTACATATATACATTACTTTACGATATAATTATTATTCGAATTGAGGCACTTATCATAGCACGGCACAAACTTTTGTATACGCTCATTAAAGTACGGTGCCGCCAAACTGGAATATCAGTCAACTCCTAGCATTGCTTATCAACTTCTCGTTGCCCTTGAATCATATCATAAAAATTAAATAATTATTGAAATTTATAAACATCTATCTGTGTATGGACACACACATATATTTATATATGTAATAAACTATGTATAGTATAGCTATATAATTTATAACTATATATATACATAGTGTGAATTATCAACGATTATAATTTATTTTAAAAGATAAAAATTTAATATTTATAAATTTTTAGCATGTTATGCATCCAGGAAGAACTGGCTCAACTGAGTGAAATCGCGGCAAGTCCCGAACGATTAATCACCGAACTGCGAGAGGTTCAATTACCTAATAGCAACCCAAACTCGGGGAGTAGTTCTAGCGATACAGCGACAAAATGCGCTCCCGGAACGGAAAGCATCGACTCTCAACGATCGAACTGGGTCGAAGGCATACTGGGATGCATGCGCCCCGTTTGGACTATGTTGTCAAAGGCAGCTATCAACGAAAAAATTAAGAATCTTGCAAGTAAGTTATGTAAATTTTTCTATGGTTATGCGGCTTCATTTATTAATTTTTTCTCTTTTTTAAATTAAGTTGTAATCTTTTATATAAAAAACTTATGTATATTTAATATAAGATTTTATATTTTATATGCAATAAGAATTGGTCAAATATGCCGAAAATATATTGTTATAATTATTATAATATTTTTTATAATTATTTCAAGAGATGTTTGAAGCAAAAATAGATTAAATCTATAATCTGCATACTCAGTTTCAGATATTTTTTGCATTTAAAATAGAATCTAGCTGTGATATAATAGAGCTGTGGAAATATAATTCGTTTTTGCTTTGAATATCCTGAGGAATAATCGTAACTTTGAAATTGTTATACATTGCATTTTTGGTACAGTGATTAACACGGGTTGTGTTTTAGCGGATGATTGGGAGATACCCTTTGGAGATATCAGCGAGATGAAGTGGGTAGCATCCGGAGCTCAAGGTGCAGTATTTAAAGGGAAATTAAATAGGGAAATCGTAGCTGTAAAAAAGGTGAAGGAACCGAAAGAGACTGACATACGCCATTTAAAAAAGCTCAATCATCCGAATATTGTACAGTTCAAGTAAGGCCTACTACTTGTTCTATTACGGCATAAGTTACATTATAAAACACTTATTGTTTAATGCTTACAGAGGAGTCTGTACGAAACCTCCTTCCTATTGCATAATAATGGAGTTTTGTCCATTTGGGCCATTGTATGACTTTCTGAGAGCAGGAGAACCGGTTCCTCCTGTTAGATTGGTGTCATGGTCAAAACAAATTGCTGCAGGGATGGCATATCTTCATGCTCATAAAATCATACATAGAGATCTCAAAAGCCCAAAGTAAGTAAATAACGAAACGAACAAAATGGGAAAATCAATTTAAATTTATAAAAAAGCATTTTATTTTATTGATATAAAAAAATTATTTTATTTTACTATTCTGCTTTATTTTACCGATATTTTTTGTGTTATAAACAATATACAATAAACATTAACTACTTTAACAAGCTTTAGACATGCAAATTTATCATAAATTAATTCTTATTAATTCTTCAATCAATTTCAAGTAGACACAAATGTGTAATTTTAAGATTAGTTACAAAGACATTTGATGTTAAGAATCAAGAATTGTTAAGAAATTTTGATATTTCTCGATATTTTCGCTACGAAAAAATGGATTTTGGCTTAACAATTCGAAAAATGCTTTGGAGTAAATATGTATATGTATAGGAGACACTTGTATGAATTTAATTTAAAAAAAATTGATAATATAAAATATTAAGTGTAGATACAATGCATCTAAAATTCGCTAATTGTTACGAAATAATGAGAGAATTATGATGTCCATAGCGTTCTAATAGGACAAGACGAAATAGTGAAGATCACTGACTTCGGTACAAGTAGACAATGGAATGAGGTTAGCACGAAAATGACTTTCGTCGGTACTGTGGCGTGGATGGCACCGGAAGTAATCAGGAACGATCCGTGTTCGGAGAAAGTGGACATATGGTCATACGGCGTCGTACTGTGGGAATTGCTGAGTGGCGAGATACCTTACAAGGACGTGGATTCCTCCGCCGTTATGTGGGGAGTGGGCAGCAATTCTCTTCACTTGCCAATTCCTACCAGTTGCCCAGAGGGTTTTGGACTACTGGTGAAACAATGCTGGGCGACTAAACCGCGTAATAGACCGTCCTTCAAACTTATTGAGATGCATCTCGCTATCGCAGCCGTCGATGTATTGTCCTTGGAACCCGAAGATTACTTTAAAGCACAGGTAGTACCGTTATTCTCTTTAATTTTCTTATGTGACATTAATATATTATACTAATTTTTAGAAATTTAAATTTGAGTGCTTGAGTGAGATAATAAATCCCTTGCCATTTAAAGTGTCTGTTAAACAAACAAATCAGACATATCTTTTAAGAAGAAAAGAGAAAGAAAAATTTTGTATTGTATAGATATATTTAGTTGACAAATTTCTGGTTTTTTAAATTATTGTTTACAATATCTAACAATTATATTTTATAATAAGCATTCTCTTGGACTCTAAGTCTTTAATAGATCACTAGTATTCTCTTTGCAATCATTGATCAAGATACATGGAGAGATAATAACATAATTTTTCTTATTACAGCAATCTTGGAAAAAGGAAATACAGGAACACATGGAACATATGCCGCTATTTACTAATACCAGTCCACGTTTCGAAAACGATCTAATTCTACGGAGGAAGAATGAATTACGGCAAGCTCAGGATGTCAGAGAACACTATGAACGCAAACTTGAACGCACTAACAACCTATATCTGGAACTAAACGCTATTCTACTACAATTGGAGCTACGCGAGCGAGATGTAATAAAGTAAGAAAAATTTATTTTTGTTTTCTGTTATAATATTATAATTGAAGTAAAAGAGATATGCTATAGATATATACAAAGTAAACACGTATTATGTGATATATTATACATTTCTTTAATAACAGCAAACAACGTAACGCTTTGCAAAACCGCGTTCTATATTTGGAACACAGCCGAAAACCCACAGATCGAAATAAATATCTGGTTTGTCTCAGGAGAGAGCAACAATCGACAGGGTATAAGCAATACAAGAAACGGCTTGTTCGTCCTTTATTGAAGGCCCAGGAGAGGTTGTATCGGAAACGGAATGGCACAGTGCAGTTCTCCACTTCCTCAACGCCCACTACTCCGCCATCGCCCACGGATTCGCCGCAGAGCCCCGTCAAAGCCATCATGTACACGCAACTGAACGAATCCAATCAACCAGAAACTATTTTGGCATCAAACAATAGTTTCAAACAGCGTAAATATAGGCATCGTAGAGTTGGCTCGGGTTGTGGCCTAAGTTCCAGTCCTAGATCGAGTCCTCATCGTGAAAGAAAGGTGAGGACTTAACTGATAATAATTTATGATAAATAATAAGACGCGATAAAACATATTTTAAGGATAATTTTGATTTGTGCTTGTTAAGTCTTTCAGTGTCCTATACCTCCAAGAAATAGACATAGGATTTATAGTTGATTCTTTAAATGAGTTTAAAATAAAATCTTTGATAAAAAACGTATTTTTTAAAATATTTATTATATTTGATTGTTTGAATATTTGACAAGACTTCTAATTGTGTACAATGAATTAATTGATATATTATCTCTTATAAAAAATAAATTTAGATCTATCCTCTCTTCATCTTTTTCAAAAAAGAGAGCAAAAATTGTTTTGATATCTTCTTCAGAAATATTGTATATATTAATTAATTATCCTGTGTAATTAGCAACAATATATATTATATATATGATAACGTGACATGTTTTCTAATTGCAGAGTATAGAAGTATCTGTAAGGTTCATTGACAGTCATACACAAACGGATATCATGGACATCAGTGAAACGGATCACACTCCGTTGGCGAATATAGCGTCTTTCTCGCCCGAAAGGTCTTCTTTGGAAGCTGCCAGAAAGCACTCGTTGAATAAACAGGCAACAGAATGTGTAAACGGGAATCCGATTTTGCCAGAAACACATTATCCGATGCTAATTAGTTCATGCTCCAGTCCTGAACCCTTGAATGAAAATAATGCAAACGGAAACGAACGTTTGAAAGATTGTAGTGATGATGACAATCTTGAGACTCTCGGTAGAAAAGTCAGTGAGATTATTATTGCGAATCGTCTCATTATTGACAATGGAAACGGCGATGATGTTGTAATCTCTCACAGGTATTGTATAATAATATCTAAGATATGATTCATTTTTAATAATTTTATAATATATATTTAACAAAAAATATTATTATTTTTTCTCTCATTTTATTAATAAACTCTTTTATTATAATTTTATTATACATATTTTATTTTCTTTTAATAGTAAATTTTAAAATTAAGATAGCATAAGACTACATCACTTAAGAATCAAAATCTCGATATAAATATAATTCATTAAACCAATTCTTATAATAGAAATAAAGAAGATTCGGGCAAACTACCTGGACATTATGCGGAGCAATCTGACATTAAACTACGAATTTCTTCAGACAATACAGATGATCGCGAAGATGATGCTTGCGAAGAAAGCTGGTCAGATGAAGAAGGAGAGGATCCAAGTTATACTTATAATTATTCTTTAAGACGAAGAAGGTATACATTTCAGTATAATTAAATGATGAATATAATATTTCAATTATTTTACGTTCTATATAATTGTTCATCTTAAAATCTTGAAAGATTTAGTGTAACAGTCGTTTAATTTACTCTTTTCAAGAATTTAAAAAAATATCTTAAACTCGGAAAAAATAAACTTGAAACACATTTTACGAGATATTAATCTTTGTAAATTTTGAGGTAACTCTTGTGCAGAATTCTTTAATAGAAATATTGTATGTGGTGTGTAATGTTATAAATATATATTAATATAGACAATTTAGTCTTTGAAGCATGTATTGTGAAAGATATTGTTGTACCTGTATCGATCTTTTATATTTGCAATATATTATGGATACAAAAGACGTTAGATAAAAATGAATATATGAGAGAAAAAAATATAAAATTTGCTTCCCTGAAAGATACTCCACTTATAATAAAAGAGTTACTTTGTGTCATTGTATGTATCTCTCCCCTATAAGATTTACGCTCATACGTAAGGAACTTAATTTTTTTTTTTTTTACTTCACAGCCAACAAAAGTCAAAGAATAAGTAAGTTTATAGAGACTATGTACTTATTGATTTCAGACTTTAAGCATTTATGTATAGTTTACGATGCGAGTTGTATTGCGCGCGAGATAGTCAAACGTGGTGCAGATTACGAGAGTTTCAAAACGAAGCTCGACACACAATAGCGCTGGACTGCACGCGGAAACTTCATACTCTTATTCCGCGAATATATTACCGGTACTAATAATTATTGTAAGCTATATCTCTCACATGCACGTACCCACAAACTGTTGCGTTTACTCAATTATCGAAAAGAATGATGTTTTGCATCCATCTATTGTACCTGCTTTGAAACTCAAATTGCCTTAATGACAATTATATACATCTGTAAATATATAGACAATACAACACCGAAATTTTAGCAAATTAAAAATAAGATAGAATAACAATTTGGATGTGCTCATTTAAACAAAATAATTTCTAAGGCGTATTATTAGAGAGATGTACTTTGTAGTAATCATATATATTGTATCCACATCTCATACATTATGCGAGTAGTTGCATAAATTGTTCCTTTTCGTGCAGTGGCAGCTAAAACTGACGAGTTCTATTATTATATAATAATAGAAGCAATACACAAAATTTGTGTTATACATAAAATAAAGTTGATTTACAGGACGTTTCATCTCTATATACTTCATTCTCTTTATACTAATCCGATATAAATACAATATATATTTGATATAAATGCGTAAATTTCGACAAGTAGTTAAAAGTAGTCATTTATTAGTTTTGTAAACAGCGCAATTTTCATAAATAGAAGCAATTTGTAAATAAAAACAGTCAGTTGACATTGATAACATTTATTGTAAAATCGAGTATTAGAACTCATTTTAGTTTTATCTGATTGCAAGAACTGTACTATTGCGACTTGAATGTCATGTCACATATATTTAAATTTCACATCTAATTTGATATTTTATATTACAAGCTTTTACAATGAACTCACTTATGAGATCTTGTTTACTTAAATAATAAAATTTTTAGTACATATAGTGCATATTGGAATTTACTTACATGCTTATATTAATATTAGAATGTGCTGAAAAATATTGCTCTGATCGTGCAACATAATATGATTTATGTATATATACATAATTTATTTTTACTGATACTAAATCAGTTAACGCAAGATGGAATATGCAAGACTGCTAAAATAGAAAAGATAAAAAGTTAACTCTATATACAAATATATATAGAGCATACCCCCTTTTTTTACGAATATAGATGTAAAGACTTAGAAATCTGTATATATTAATTTTCTACTAAGAGTGCAGGGGGAAAGAAAGGCATTATTTATTATACCGTAAAAACCGATTAATTTCTTATCGACTCTCTATGATCATTATCAAGCATAAATGTGCTGATAAGAATATGAGATTCTCAAATGATTATAATCAATTATAGTCACGATTATTACTAAAAATTATGTAGTCTTTCTCCTTAATGTCTATTAAGGAGATATCTATATCTATTGGGATAATATATATTATCAATATGCATGAATTGTTTCTGGCCCTCTTTTAAAAGGACAGATAAACGAGATTTCAAATAAATAAAATTATAATTAAAACAATCACAAATTATACAACAATTTTCATTATAATTACAAATTTTACCAATAAAATGAATTACTTAGAAATTCAGTAGTAGATTTATATAGAGATGAAGCGCTTTGTTTTAAACCGGTAAATAACGACACAACTCCTTCCTTATCATCTTCTTCTTCCTCTTCAGGTAAATAGTCAGGCATTTCTTCACCATCACTATTATCTGTTTGTATCTGTAAGTTTATCATATTCATAATTATTTTGAAACGCATGTACATGTATGTATATGTATGAATTAATTGGTTATTTTTTGAATTTATGGTCTTGAATCTATTCTTTAAGTTATTTGACATGAAACATTTAACTTGTTTTCTTAAAACACATTTTGATTATTCTATTTTAAGCCACTTTTTTTAAATTTATATATCTATATTATTCTGTTCCTCCATTTTTCATAAAATAGTGTACTTTTCTCAATTCGTTTCTTCTGAATCAGATCAGAGTTATTTATAGTTTAATGAATACAAATTATACTAAAGTGAGTAGAAAAGAGTCTGTTTGTCATAAAGAAAAAGTAAATTGCAAATCAGAAGAAATTACAATAATTCTTACCAGCTTTACAAGAAACTCTTGATTAAATTTATTTCTTGTCACCAATCTTGCTTCCATATTGTCTGTATTTTTGTCAATTGCTTCTGCAATTTGTTTCGCAGTGACAAAATTCAAGGTACGCATAGTTACACGCTGATGCTCTACGTCAACAACAAGCGAAATGAGACCTTCGATTCTTATTAATATCCCTTCCAACTCAGATCGAGTTTCCTGTAATTAATTGTTTGCCACCATTATAGCTTAATACATATAATTATATTCAGTATATATAACTTTTTTTCAAACTTTATATTAACAAGCTGTAACTTGATAAATCAGTACTTACAGGTAATAGACCTTGTACATGTAAAACTATTACATGAGTCTTCAATTTTTTAGGTTCTATAACTCGCCTACAACGACTACGTAAGTTATATATAGGAGGTTTCATGCGTTCTATGTCATCCTTAATGTATTGTGCTCGATTGGCTAACTTTGGTTCAGTCAGACTGTACTTGTTTATAATTGCTTCTAAAGATTCACGCACACCAAAAGTAGATGTTATGTGTATATAATTGTCTACATTCTTGACAAATATCTCCAGAATATCTAAGGCTAAAGTAACCACATCTACATCAGGTACCTCTAAGACATACGCTATGTATGATAAGACCGTTTTATCCTGCAATACATAAATAATTATAATAATGAGAGAAATTATAACATATGTTTTGTACAGAAATTTTACAAAGACCTAGAGAACTCACCTTCAAGATTGTGTCATGGTTCACAAAATCGTCCGCAAGTTTTCTATATGTCTGAAGAGTCTCCTGCAGCTCCTGCGGGTCCACCACGTCTACGGAATCTTCTCCGTCCATCGTCTCCCAAATGTTACGTTGACATTAAACGCGTTTGAAATTTCTGTACAATTAGATTTTTATTGCAATTTACTCGATATAACTCCTATACAATTCGCGAGAATGGCCAACAGGATTCTAGGACGAATCCTCATCGAGAACTGTATTCATGTCTAAGGAGAAAAATAACGAGACGAGAAATTCGCCGCTTTCTCCAACATATAAGTTATTACGTCGCAATGTTGTATACAGATGTAATCGTCCTAACCTTATTTTTTATACAGAATCATCGAGGTCTGACTCTGTCCGATGTGAGAACATACCGCGATAAAAGAGCGCTTCGGATCTCACGCATTTGGCATTTGATCAAAATCGATCGAAAGACATATTGCTCTCAGGCGAGTTGGCGGTATCTCTCGTTTTTATCGACACCGGGAAGGGAGGGACGGAGGAAGCTGGCGCCTGGCCTACATAGACTCGAAAAGCATGCTTACAATGGTAAACAAAAGGGCTATGGGATGTAACGTCAACCGCGTCAATATCGAAGTGCGCGCGCACGCACGATAACGCAAATGCGGGATTATATTATTTTTCTTATCACTTTGCGCGAAAGAAACGCGAAATCGCTTCTTCAAAATCGCTGACGATTTTTCTTCAACGATAATCGACGCGATGCGATGAATCGATCGCAGTGCGACAGACGCGCTCGTTTTCAGCTGATCGTTGTCAGCTGTCAGCTGATCACAGTAAATGGTCTGTCTTTTGCCTTAAAAATCTATCCAGACTAGACAGAGAGACCAACCAATCACGTATCTCACATATATGTGTATATATATATATATGTATGTATATATATATATAGAGCGGTTGCGATCGCGCATTATGGTGGTTGAGTCGGTACTCCGAGAGAAGACTAGCAGTAAAATCGATATCGCGTGTTCTGTGTACTGATAAAGCATGCTACATTTTTTATATTAGACGGTTAATTGATTTTTCTTCATGCATTATATAATCTAATCAGAATTTCCCTAATTTGGCCAAAAACGTTATAAAACATTTTAATCACACGTAATAAGAATTTAATTAAGATTAAAACTGAAAAAAATATGAAAAATAAGAAATTAAAAAATGTATTCGACAGCCAAATTTTTAAATTATCCGTATAAAAAGACAGAACAAAATAGAAAGCTTCAAAGACTATCTTGTTTAATTCTGGTTTGCCACATCCATAGAACCATAATTAACGCTAGAGAGCGATATTATTTTCTAACACTTAAAAGCCAATCCCCGATTGGTCGTCCATCGCGCATTCGCGTTACAACTTGCTCCTTTTATATAGTATAGATAGCATATGATTCCTTCAGTGTCCATCCGCGATATTGTATAAGCGTCGTAGCACACAGTCGACGTATAATTTCGTCGTTTCCATATAATTGGACGACTACGCCGTAAGTACATTTGCAACACATCTCGGCATGTCCTTGAGATATTCCAGGATTGTTTTCTATCGATCGTCCACGGGGCGGAAGCGTGGGTGACATTCGACGAGCTCGCCGCTACTTGTCATCGTCATGACATTTCATATCAGAATGCCATAGAGCACCATATGATTGTTGTTTTATATTGATTTTTATTTATTCTCGTATAATATAAAGATTTATATAAGTTTGTTCAATCATGCAATTGAGATTTCACGCATCTGCAATTTAAATATATTCAATTAACAATTAATTTATGAATCGAAATTCGATAAATTATTATTTCTCCAATAAAGGGGATGATATTTGTCTCACATGTCGATAACTGGAAATTGAAATTTCGTAGGATCCATTATGCCATCGGTTCGAAGGATGATCCTGGGTCACGTTATGTCCGGCTTGTACAACAAGATGAATCGCCGGAAGAAGTTGGAGGGTGACATGCTTGAAACTCCAATGAAAAGATGTCTTTCTACCTTCGATATCACATTGCTTGGTAAATATATTTTTTTCAAGTCGTCTATATATAATTGCAATTTTAATAAGTAGCTGAAAAGAAAAGAAAATCTTTATTAAAAAAATGAGATGTTATTTTTACACAAGATGTATCTCTTATTTCAACAAAATTGATTGCACTTATATGCGACATATATGAGCGATACGCAATTTGCTATTATATTCGCGCATTATTGCGATGGTGGTAAACATAACAATTCGTAATAGTAGCCTCGAGTATCAGAGCGTTAGTCAACGATTGCATTAAATATTAATATATATAAAAATAATAAAACTTATATATGTGAAAAAGAAAATAAAATTATCTCACGCGGATATGTTTGCGACTTGAATAAAATTAATGTAATCTATTCAAAAGACACCAATATTAATTACTCTATTCAATTATGCATACGCTTCCAGGTGTGGGTCACATGGTCGGTGCCGGAATTTACGTGCTGACGGGAACGGTTGCGCGTGACACGGCTGGACCTGGTGTGATCTTCAGCTTCCTTGTGGCTGGTCTGGCTTCCGTTTTAGCAGCACTCTGTTACGCCGAGCTCGCCGCTCGTGTGCCAAAGGCAGGTAGCGCATACGTTTACACGTACATCTCTGTCGGCGAATTTTGGGCTTTCATCGTGGGATGGAATCTCATCTTAGAGCATATGATTGGTAAAAAAATTATTCCTTTATAGAGAGATTTCTGAAGTATTTATTAATAGGAATTTAATGAAAAGGAAAATTAAATTAAACCTGTAATTAGTAAAAGTCAAATTTATTATTAGAATTAAACATTTATTATCAAAATTAAATTAGAATTTTATATTCTATTTATTTTACTACTTTTGATTTTAAGAATCTTAACAGAAAGCTCTATCATTGATTAGGCGCAGCATCTGTAGCGAGGGCTTGGAGCGGATATGTGGATTCGTTGATCGGCGGTGTGATTGGCAATTACACCCGCGACGTGGTGATGGGTGGATACAGCATGGGAGAGCCGCTAGGTACCGTCCCGGACTTTCTAGCCAGCGGATTATGTCTGGTTTACGCTATGCTCTTGGGATTAGGGGTGAAATTCTCAACGACGGTAAATTCGTTCTTGACCATCATCAATCTCATGGTGATGGGACTGGTCGTCGTTCTGGGGATTTATTACGCAGATATCACGAACTGGAGCAGTCAGAACGGGGGTCTTTTGCCATATGGTTTCGGCGGCGTCATCACAGGCAAGTATCCTTCATTCGTATAGCTCGAATAAACAAAAACTGTGTCGACCGTAAAATATAAGTAAATTTTTGCAATCAATCTGAGCATCGCATGAAACGGACACCTTACATCTACTATCTAATTATTCGTAAGAACGCAGTAGAGAAATTATATTGAGGAAATATTGAGTTCTGATGTTTTGTTTTTTTTTCAGGCGCAGCAACGTGCTTCTACGCTTACGTCGGCTTCGATTCGATCGCGACTTCCGGAGAGGAAGCTCGCGATCCCGGGCGAAGCATTCCGCTGGCGACGTTACTCTCTATGGTGATAGTCACCATTGGATACATGATGGTTAGCGGCGCCCTGACGCTGGTCGTACCGTATTGGGCGATCAATCCTATCGCGGCTCTTCCGGAAGCCTTTTCGTCCCGAGGTATCCCGTGGGCTAAATATGTGATAAGGTAAAAATTTAAAATTCTATTTCTTTTTCTATTGACTTTTTAATAAAACTTTAGAAAAAAAGAAAATATTAGCTATATCGTTTTTCTTTTTTATCATTTTTATAGCGTACATCTAATAGTATCAACTCTATAATTGATTGCAATATTCAAAGGATTGAAAATATTATAATATTTATGTTCCAACACATGAGCATTCTTCTTTCTTTTCAAAAGTTACAATTCTAGATCTTTATAGAAAAAAAAAATAGTATTTTACAGTAAACAATAATTTAATTATTTTCTAATTAAAATTTAGACACACACTAATCTTTGGGTTTTGCATATCTAGCATGGGTGCTCTTTGCGGAATGACAACGACCCTTTTCGGATCCCTTTTCTCTCTTCCGAGGACAATGTACTCCATGGCAAACGACGGTCTGTTATTCGGTTTTCTGGGCCGCATCAGCGAGCGAACGCAAGTGCCGATATGGAATCTCGTCATAAGTGGACTACTCAGTGCCTTAATCGCTCTACTGTTTGATCTCCAACATCTGGTGGAGTTTATGTCGATCGGAACTCTGCTCGCATATACCATCGTTGCAGTTAGCGTCATCCTGCTGAGATATCTGCCTGAGCAACAGGTGTCTGATCAATGCAGCGTCGGCACGCCGAGCAGTCTATCCTCGCCACCCACAGAAGAAGCGGATTCCAGTAATTATAGCAGCATGGCATCCGTCAAATCCGAAGTGAGTATGTTTTTATTAAAAATACATATGATGCTTCGATCGTAACTCATACTATCAAATATGATATAAATTTATATTTTGCTTTATAAGATTTATATTTTATTTCTATAAGTATAAACCTTAATATAAAATAACAATCCACTGAGCAATTTTTAAATATATTTTTACATAATAAATCGTTCATATAGTTACTATGCGAAGGAGCTGGCAGATTCAAACCACGATACGCCTGGATGGAAGAATGGTTAGAGGATTATGATACTAGACACATCATGACCGCCTGTCTACTTATTTACACAATAACCTGTGCTTTCCTCGGTACTTTCCTAGTAATAGCATTTGAAACGACAGTTCCGTTCACAAAGAGCGATTACCTTTCCGCGGGGATCTATCTCCCGCTACCCATCGCGAGTAAGTTTATCTGAAACTTCTTTCAATTTTGGTATGATACAATTGTCACTTGTTTCCATTGACCTTGATTATACTTATTTATCCCAGATTTATTCTTAGGTCTTTTCGTGATTAATGCTCATAGACAAAATCCGCCCAGTGGAAAGTTTCGGGTACCGCTGGTACCTTTCATACCAGCGCTAAGCATCCTCTTCAATATGGGTCTGATAATGCACTTGTCTTCAATGACATGGCTACGGTTTTTTGTATGGATGACGGTCGGTAAGTTAATTATTAATAATATTATTGGTATGAGGATATGATGATATATAAATTTAAAATGTTGAAATTGAACATATTAAATTTGAATTAATTCCAATTTTTAATTCAGCTTCTCTTTTCGACTCTTTTTCAGGAATGATGATTTACTTCCTGTACGGCATCCATTACAGTAAAGAAGCAACCACTATCCCGAACTCATATTCCATCTTGATGGCTACCTCAGAAGCCGAAAAAGGTACAAAGTGGGGATCGACGTTGCGAGTTAGCCCGAAAAGCGACAAAGCCCCTATTTTGGACGACAAGGAACTTGTTCACTAAAGATAAGTTATATATTTTAATCAACACTATGTTTTCCTTATGCAATTCTTTCGCCATTTCGCCATTGAAATCGCGAAAATCGTACAAATTTTAATACCGGAGCAAAGTTTCAGCTGCCGACAACGAAGCACAATGCAGATTAATGCAACGAAATACAAAAAAAGATATTGTTCAATCTTCAACAGTTTATAATTAACTTTAATATAATTAGCGCACAATTAATACTCTGCTATTTAAATGTCACAATTTATTTTGTCTTATATATAGAATCTATTTTCTATTATTCCGTTTATTTGGCACCTTTCTTTGTATTTCGGCGGCTCCACTTTGCACACAAAAATTTGTTTGAAATTGAAAGTTTAAATGTTAAATATATATTTTGTAAATATCAATCTTGCAAAAGGCATACGGACTCGTACAACTCTTCTCGAAAGTTTTGTCAAGTACAAATAACTATATTTTTCGTATACTTAGCCTCATCTAGTCCGATTAATTACGAGAGTGATTTGTATAATTTTGAGAATTGTTGATGATAGTGTTTTTTAACAGGCTCAAGAAATATTGTTGTCACACGCACGTTCTCTTTTTCTAGATATGTTCGTTGTCATATACATACGATTAATCGATTTTATTTTTTGTATTTTGTTTTTTTAACATTAACCATATTTTACAAACACACTGCGTGGTGTATAATACTTGACAAAGAAAAACTTAATTTATTATTAGACAAAAACTCATATATATTTTATATTACAAACATGTTTTTAGTTCTCATCGATGAGAAATCGTCGTTTTTTTTATTCCGCGCAATTCTATTAGTGTAAGTATTGATAAGTATGATGATAGTATGATTGATTATATAGAATGAAATATTCTCTTTCCTTGTCTTCCTTTCCTTCTCTTTCGTTGTCATGAGAATGATCACACTATTCTGTCATTATAATTATATTAAGACTCAATAAACAATATATATCTCCTTCTAATGTAATAGTAAATGATAAATATAGTTTAGAACAATGCAACGTGCAAGTTTCCTGCAATTTTAATTATTATTAATTATAATGTTTCTTTTAAGATACGTGGACGGATTTTAAACAAAACAGATGGTTAAAAATTCATTTATTTATCTACAAAAGCATATTTTTAATAAGCATCGTTTTAATTCTGCAGCTATTTCATTAATTAATGAAAATATGTGAGAATATAAATCCTTACAAATATATAATAAATTAAATGTGCGATCAAAAGTTAAATTTATCTCAGTGACATAATACATTCGTGCGATTGATCCTTATTATAATAGTGTACAACATTGTTCTTGCGCGACACATTGACCGTCACGATACCCACGCAAATAATTTATGTCTATCTACAATAATATCTAAAGCTCAGTAAAGTTTGTGACTCTATATCTGTTTAACTCATTTTCATACCTGATAAATCATTTTCATGACTGCGATCGCGTTTATTTCCCATCTAAACGATTGCATTTGCATCAGGAAGGTATATAAAAGAGCTATCAAATAAAACACATACCAGTTTCGATTTTCTTTTATACAAAAGACTTTTGTTAACACATCCTGCATTAAATATTTATTAATTTTTATGCGCGTACATAAAATATTTTTAATTATATTTACATCTAAATGATATATAATAACGCTATGTAAAAAATATTGTTAAACATTATGTTTCTCTCGTAATGTATTTTACTCGGCAGTTAGTTGACAAATAAATATATATATATATATATATATATATATATATATATATATGTATGTATGTATGTATGATTATATGTCATTAAATCAAGGAAATAAGGATGACAACCAAATAGAGATCATTTTATTAGACATGGAATATTCGTTTAAGATTATAGTATTTTGTTTTCTTCTCCTGTAAAGTCTATATATTCTGTACATAGATATATTCTATAATAGATAACATATTGTTTTCTGAGGCAAATCGTTATCGATTCACCTCATGCACATTTACAAAACTGGAACACTTGATAAACGTGCAGGAAATTATGCATGCACACGTTCTATATATAGGTAGATATATAGTGTGTTCACGAAGTTGTTATGGATCAATGCGACTTTTGACTTTTAGGCTGGACTTCATGCATCTTATGTTAGCTTTTTGTGGGCGTAAAACTCTCAGTGTTTTCAATTTATTTACTAACCGAATTCGATCCCCGATGGATACACCGAATATTGCGTCAACTCATCATATAAAAAATTATCTAATAATTTTACAGGTATCAATGTTAAACGGGTCTATAACATTGTGCTGATATGTTACCTATTATTTCGAGTAAATACGATTTTCCAAGCGGACATCGGTTTCGCCTGTAGTATATTAATTTTTCTACGACCCCACCTAAGCCAGGAAAAGCCTATGATTAAGCAGAGAATGCTCTCTATGTAATAACCATCGAGCTGCATGACGCAAACACCGTTATTAGTATTCACACAGAGCTGAAAATGTAATATATATGTATATATTATATAAATTATGATAATCTTAAGGTATAATTGTGAATTACGATAAGAAAAAAAGGCAAAATGCTGCGCGACCAACCTCTCTCTCTGTAATTGTGCTACAATCGTTTGTATAATCGGTACTGCATTGCCTAAATGTTAAGGGATCGACGAACCAAAGCGCGGCCGTGGCGGGCCAATTTCCACCGAGATTACATAAAGTATTGAGCAATGTCATGTAAGTGCCACCAACAGCCGGGTCGCTGACCTTCGCGAAAAAAGCCATGGACGCCACGAACATACTACTTGCAGAAATCTAAAAAAAATTGTGTAAAGAAAAATAATTAAATGCGAATCATACACTTCGTGTTTAGAAAGAAGACACACTCCGTCTATTAATATTTACCTGATGTATGAAATAGAGACCTATCAATACGACGAAATAATAAGCTGGAACGTATCCGTTGATTACAATGAACGGTGTAATCCATACCAAACAAGCTGCTATTAAGCCGAAAGCCAACCTGTGTCATATATATACAAGTCCGTTTTATAAATTACCCGATAAAAAAACTTGATAATCCATCATCATCATATAAACATGAATGACACATTAATTACCTGTAAGGCATAGCTTTCATATAAACGTCCATAGGTCTTGGCCCAGCAGTATATTTCGAGATTACTAATGGTAAAATTATTTGCAGTGGTATCATCGGCACGGCCATAAAAGCGAATTTTTCCTTGGGAATGCCGGCTTCTATAAGCTTCAAACCAGTCACAGCGTCGCATGCCGAAAATCCGATCTACAAAACGTAATGAATGAAATCAACTCTCTATGTCACACCCAGCGCAATTGAATTATAATTTTCAGTATCGAACCTTTGCAGTCAAGAGAAATATAATCGTGGTCTTTATGGCTGGTAATTTAACTATATCCCACAATAGCTTGTACGCATGCTTAATATCCATATTTAGCTCTTCGCCTTTGGATATTCTGCCTTTATTTTCGTGTTTGAATAACGCGATAAACGTTGTCATAACGAGAAACGCCCAGCCCCAAAAGTACAAAAATCCTACAAATATAATAATATATTAGAGAGACCCTATATATAGGTACGTCTATAAAGATATAAAAATAATTCCGTTAATAGCTAGACTCTTCTTACCAGGTAGAGTTAGCATGCCCACGTCGGAAGGGACTGATCTTAAATAATTATTGCAAAATTCGGCAGATTCCAACGAAATGAACAACACATAGCCGATGAAATATCCCGCCGTTTGGCCGACGCTGTTACAAGTGGACGCATATCCGACGTTGCACCTTAATGAGCGAATCAACTAATTAAGCAGATCTCGCAAAAAAAAAAATACTGCACGCGTATACGAAACTGGATTATATTTTTTGCAAGAATACCTTTTAAGCATCGTAAGCGCCCATCCGTCAACTACAATGTCCTGAGTCGCGGCAAGTACGTTCAACGAGAAGAATAACGCGGTCAGCATTTCGATATTGGGCTTCTCGTGTTCTTTGCCAAGCCAGTGTTCGACGTAATTCGACAGAAGGAGCATAAACATACCCATTAGGTACTGGGTAGGGATCAACCATGTTTTCCTTCGTCCGAACTTTTGGGAGAAAATGGAATCTACTATGGGTGCCCAAAAGAGCTTCAACGAGAACGGCCATTGCACGAAACTAAATTCTGCCTATGTCAACAAAAAATACGATAAATTATTTTTTTATTTAAATTTACTGTGCGATTGTTAATTCAATGTTCTTATATGAAAATCGCACGTGAAAAAAGAGACATATAGTCGTTCAAGTTTGGTCAAATATTTTAGGGTGACTCTGTATATATTGAAAGATACATATTCTATATGTATTAGACTTGTGTCTTATAAAACATAATTGCTGACATATGATTATTCAAGAATATGTGACTATGCGAATTTAAGTCTCTGAGAAGCTAAACTGTGTGATCAACTGTTTCTTATTTTTAGTATCAGAAAACTAAGCATATAAAAAATCCTATAAAAATATATAATAATAATCATATAAAAAATCATATAATAATCATATAACAAATTCTGGTACCAAATAAAAAAATTTACAAGAAGCGGAATTGATTAGTTTGGTTTTTAAGAAGCTTATACATCAATCAGACATCGTTCTTAACCATATTGCCAATTTAATAATCATGTATATATTGAACCTATATATATTCGACGACAATAGAGTTTTTATCCTACCTGTTGCCGATAAGAAACCCCTCTGTTCTGCAATAGCATGGGAATCGAGCCACATAATCCCAACGGGATGCCCTGCAGCAAGTACAAGAAGAACAGTATCGCGATGTTCTTCTCGTCACCTCGCAAATCGGAGGGTTCCTGAATACTATACCCGTCGACGATACCATCTTCAGCGACGCTATTCTCCTTGTCCAATTTTCTCTTCATCTTCGTTCTTCACCTAATCTCGGATCAGTCAACAATATTCACTCGCGCCACGTTTACTCGCGTTGACGTTGACGTTCAAGGTTACCGCCGATCGCGTTCAAGATCGTCCCCCCGGACTTGTTAGGTTAGAAATCCGCCGCTCGTCACCGCATATCGCGAACGAGCGCACGCACTCTACTCGATTCTAAATTCTCGATGATGACGGTGGAGAATAAAAACGAATGATTTATGCCGGTCGAAGTGTCATCACTTACGCGATCATCGCGAACATAACCTTTGCTCCTGGTCCGCGCCGGACAAACGCTGGAATCGCTGTTGAATTCGTGACTCGGTTTCTTTTTTCCCTCCTTTTTCTAACACGTTGACATCGCGACGCGCGAGAAAGAAATTGCTCGCGTGAAAATGACGCGCGGACATAAATGGATGCACTGTCGCGTTGCCACGTTGTTGATTATTAGGACACGTCAGTTTTATTCTTGTTTTTTTTTCTCGCAACGTCACGTGCGCGCGGCTACTTGTATACATAGATGGGGGATGTACGAAAATTATATGGAGGGAGCATCGGAGCGTCATCTCGCGTACGATCGACGAGACGGCGATATTTCTGGAGGGAATTTCAAATCGACTCACAATTTTCTCAATTTATACTACTATTGTACAAGGAGACTTTATTTATGCGTACATGAATTCTTTTTTTATCAAATAGTATTGGATAAGTGTGATATAATTATATGGTTGAAATATTTAAAAAAAAAAAAATTATTCAAGCTTTCCTTACGTAGTTACAAGCAAACATATTGCAACTTCTATTTTCCGTCGCGACGCCGATTGCCAGATTGATTAAATCCTTCACGTTTGAGCTCACGGAAGAGACATTAAGCACGTTGTTTCGTATTCTGCAAAAATTTCAATTGATTAGGCGATTAATATGACGTTGCGAAGTAACTTAAACGATGAGAAAGATATATACAGATTGGTAAGATGATATTTCCGATTAGCATTCAAGATTTCGACGTCCTTGTCGAGATCGGACAGATAATCCTTCTGGATTTCGCAAGTCAACCTGGCGACGCATCTCGGGGAAACGATCAATCTGTTGGTCGAGCCGTCTTTTTGTATCTGTTCGTTAAAGAAAAAATTAACGTTTTTGTTCAAGTTCTAGCGCAGAAAAATTACGTCGTGGTATATTTGAATACCTTGACTAAATTTTTCTTCAACATGTTCAAAATGTAATCCATTTGGTAGCCGTTTTGCGCTTCCTCCAAGAAAGTTTCCGATCTTTTCCTCCTTCCGCCTACGATGCCAATTGGTAGGAGAACCGGATTTGAAGCTAACGCCGCTGCTGCTCCGATCAATGCAACACCAGCTAGAGCCTTTAACGCTACGGCCTTAACAGATAAACATAATCATAATATTTCATTTGCAAATCTCTCGATCGATTTAAAATATAGAGGAAAAAAATGTTTATGGCACCGGATGTTCCTAGTATCGGACAAAGTATGCTTATTACTGTTAAATGATAAGATGCTTACAATAGATACTAGATAAAATTTTACTTGTTGATCAGTATTACAGATTCTAACAGATTTACGTTCAGTTCATTGAAAGTAATTGGTGATTTTAGTTGTTCCTTCTGTAAATCTGTAAATATTTTTAATTTCGAAATTTTTAATATTTAGTTAATTTGAATTTATTTTATATTGCTTAAATATGTCGTGGCGGTAATGAATTAATTTACTTTACACGACATATTGAACATTCATTTTCTCTTTGGTATATAAAATATTATTTATCGCGAGATTTATTCCATTAAAATGTTAATCATGTAAACATAGTCGACAATTCTAATTATATTCTCGAATTTGTACATATATTATAATCCGAGAATATTTATCTTTAATTTTAACTTGTATATTTATTCACTTATGTTAAAATGCACAATATACATATAATCTGTCACTTATAAAATAAATTACAAATTTTATATATTATATTAAAAAATAATATGATATAACCCTTCCAACGGGAGTACACCTTGACGTTGGTGGAAGGGCTTAGTACCTGAAGGGTTTATCCTGAAGGGAAAGCTAAGTACACCCGAACGATTCGTGACTGTAAAAGCATTGTCACGAGTCGTCAAATGGTTCATATTTAATGAGCATTCGATAGCGTATATTTGATGAGCGCATATTAATGCGCCAGTTTTCAGTGTGCCGCTAATAGTTTATCGCGAAATAAAAAAAAAAAATTGATCAACAAATTAATTCTTGTTATTAACGATCCGTAAGTATGGAAATGACGGATATTTATCAAAGTGAATTGCCATTTTTCGTGAAAAATAAAATTATATGATGACAATTGGTCACAGCAAAAGAGCCAATGGGCATCAAAGAAAAGAAACAATAAACTTGGAGACTTTCGAGAGGATTTCGATAAATTCAAGTATCGATTTAACTTGCCTTTTTTAAAAGGGGGTTTCAAAAAACTTTAGATATCTGTTATTGGGAAATTTCTTAAAATTGTTTTCGACCTTTTCTCGTTTTCGCTTCCTCTATATATAGGTAATAAAATTCATGTTCCTCGAAATATATGTACCTTTTGCGCGTGAAGATTTCCGGGATGCTGCGGCACATTTTCATCCGGATAAGCCGAGTCGCCAGGACCGAATTCGTCACCGTCCGCCAATGTTCCCGAAACACCATAGCCGCCGTTCAAACCTCCGTATCCAGACGGCCTGTTATAGCCCCCATGACTGCTAACGCCATAACCATATCCTCCAGAATTTCCAGAACCGTATCCCAAAGTGCTGGGTCTGTTAGCACTTTCACTTCCGTACACTGGACGCGATGGATACCTTTTTCATCAAGCGTCAATCAGAATGTCTTTAATTTATCAAAATTTTACATATTTTTCTTTACGAATTCTTTAAATCTTTCGACACGCCGTCAAGAAAAATTAAATTTTTTTTTAATTAATGCCGAAAGTGCTTCGTAAAATTCGCGGAAACGCGACGGAGATTTGCGAAAAGTTTACGGTAAGAGAAAGTTGAGAAAATTTACCTGTCTCCTGACTGACTTCCTGCGTAGCTTCCGCTTCCGCCTCCTCCTCCTCCTCCTCCTCCGGGTCTACCGCCGTTTCCGGTGGAACTTGAGGGTCGATTTTGTATCTGCCATCCGTATCTGGAAAGAAACTTTGCGTTCTAAAATTTTTATGTACATAGAAAAAATAATCAACACATCACTACCTGTCAACAGGATTTCGCTCGTTATATTGAGAAGGATAACGTCCGATATCCAAAGGGATCTTGTTGTAATTGTAATCCGGTCGAGTAGATTCGCTGATACTGTATCTACGGCCGCAACAGCTGGAATTTGCAAGTAAAAATGTTCCATATATAATTAGAATTGTTGACAAAAAATCGTTATTAACTTAGCTGTCACGTTTCGAGAGTTTAAGATTTAAAGGGGAGGAAAAGCTACGATCAATTCGGAGATGTTGACTTATCTCTGTCGAGATTCGAGTCGCGATGTATGACAGTTCTTGGTTTCTTGTCTGTTTTCTTCTCTTCCTCGCTGTTATTATCTAGGATAAGCTGCGATGAGTTTTTCGCGCGAATGATATTTTCGAGAAGTTTGTCCTCGGAATCTGCAGAGTATTTCTTTGAAAGTTCAGTTGTCACCGGGAATTCACTTTTCTCCGCCAGTGCACAATAAACACCGAGAGTGATGAAAAGAATTAGAACGTGCGTCATTGTCGTGATAAATAAAAATGCGAATATTTAATGCGTTTTCTTCTCAAGCTTCCGAATATAAAGTATCGGGTACGCAGATAATTCTCCAAGAATCATAAAAAGTTCGGCGAGCGTTCGCTTCAACGAGATGACACAAAAGTAACTCTCTAATTTTCCAAGTTTCACCTATTTATATAGCGGTCATGCATGGGATACTATCATAAATTCACCCTTCAGGGACGAATGTGGAATTTTTCTGCGATAAAATGCAAGGAAGCAGTAATAAAAGTTATCGATTCTGATGCTCATTTCTCCGTATTTTTTTCTAATTATGATAAGCTTGTTATTGTAGTTGCAAAGAAAGCAACAAAAGGCTTTACTTTAAAGCTTTATTACAAGAATCTAATATTTTTGCAAATTTTATTTATGCCTGCAAATATTTTTATGCTTTTTAGTTATTCAATATCTAGTTTCCGTTTAAACAAAACGTGAATCTTACAGATATTTTTTAATGATTTGAAAATAAAAATGGTGAACATGCAGTAATAGATACAATAAGAGATATTCATTCTTTCCTAATGATTTGATATTTCTTCTATTCTTATTTTTGTGTTATAAATATTCTACGAGAACTATTGCAAACTGTATAATTTTCATACGGAATAATATGACACTGGTTGCGTCCCTGAAGCTACAAAGTGTGACCAAACGTCAAGGAGCACAGAGCGCTAGCGAAAATAAAAGTGTCACGAGTGAGTCAAGAATCGTCACGCTAGCGCATTAATTAAGATTTCTCATGTTATTGTTTTCGTTATTTGCTTACGAAATTTGACAAAAATCACGAGACGAGATCATGCCAATAGATCCTACCAACCTCGCGTCATTATGATCTGTATTTCGTTTTCTCCCTTTAAGGAATCCATTAAATTCAACCAACTTTCTCTTCTATAATTAATGTCTAATTAACGCTATTTTCACGAGGAAAATCACACAAACCTCGAGCACTATAACTTTCATTTTTTTTTTCCGCTTTCCCTTTCGTTACGGTCTTCGGTCTTTCCACACCATGAAAGTTTGTCGGTGAAAATTCAAGCAAACGTAAGATTTTATTTTATTTTTTTTTTCAATCTCCCCGATTTACAGTGAGAGAGATTTAAAACAGTTCGTACAACAAGACATTTGATCCACTGATTACTTGAAAATGAGTCAATGAAGGAATGATAGCCAGACTTGGAAAGTTTCGCCGAATTGGCGATTGCTAATTTCCTACCGTGTGCTTTGTTTCCCTTAATGGATTTCGCCATTACGAAATGTGAACAGGACAATTTGTTCCGTCTGGATGTCCGTCAGTGTGACGAACAACCGAAATTACGCGGATACACACCGCATCCACGAGTCCTTATTACATTAAACTACAAAATTTCTAACAACAAGAAAGGACTCGTGTCGGAACTTTGACGCACTAATTAGCCTTGTAAAATAATGATAGTCGAGGCTGTTGCTTTTTCTTTATCTCAATATTACTACAACGCTAAGTCAATTTTTGTTAACTTGAATAATTTTTTAGCTAATTATACCAGTTAGCTAAAAGATGTTTAGAAAATTCGAAGCACTAGAGACACGTTTCATTAATCTTTTACACGCGTTACTTCAAGCATGAAAGGAAAGCGTATGTATTACAGTTTGATTATGCTGAGTATGTGTATTCAATCAACCGCAAGAGCCGATACGAGAGACGCGGGCATTAATTTAAGCAAAACCGACGAGGACCCCCGTGAGGATCGATGGATCGCAATGAAAGAGGAAAACCGATTTCGTTCCGAGGATGCTGGGAACGAGACATTAGGGAGCTAATTTAAAAAATAGAGGGGGAGGCTGCCACGCTTAGGACGAAGGTAATTCTCGGGTGTGGAAACAGGACAGGAATAGAGAAAGAGGGAGGAAGGGAGGGAGATACCGGGGTGGCCTGTAGAAGATACGAGAGACCGCGGGATGGAGCGAGAGCAAAGTAATCAATACGCATTCACACGCGGTGCCTTGCATACCCGGGTTTCCATGGGAACTGACGCCCACGCATGCGTCGGTCCATGAGATGCTGCTGTACCAACGAGATCGTACAGAAGTCTGAATATCCGAATCAGTCTCGCGCCAACCATTCCGTGCGCGAGAGACGAGCGACGAAGATCGGCGAAAGCATGGAGAAATTCTTTCACATGTCCGAATCATACATATCTCAATCACATATATACATTTGTTTATCTTATAGAATTTATATCTATACAATCCTCTTTTAAATTAATTTGCTATTTATTTTTATGCAGTATCTTAACGACTCTGAAAAATAAACGAAACATAGAACATTGTATATATAATACATAATAATATTGATAATTTCTTTTTGGTTTTAATATGCTAATGAAAAAGAATAACAAGAATTAATAGATTTTATATTTAATAATGTCTTACAAGAATGAGAGAATAAATAAATAAATAAATTTTTTCGAAAAGCATTTTATAAAGACGCGCTGACAAAATTGCAGAAAATATTAATACACGGCGGTGAATATGACGTCTGTATTTGTTACTTGGCGAACGATTGGCGTCTCGGACGTCTAAAGCATGATAAACCAAATCGTACGTATGTCGGGGAGATCGTTCCCCCGACGACGGTCATCTTGGTCTCTCTATCGTCGTCATTCGAAGGGTTCATTCGATGCGGCGTTCGTTCGACGGATGTATTCAACCCTTCTTTCCCCTCGGCTACCCTCACTCGATGGTGCGAGGAATCGTCGCGACAGAGGGGATGAGGGTTGCTGGTCGGGAAGCGCCTGCGCCGAGTCCCCAATGACGGACTCGACTAGGTAGGTGCTCGACCCTGGGACGCAGTTTGGGAGAAAACAAGCGGCGGGCAGCCTGCTGTTCTCCGGGTAGCGTGGGCCCTTTCCTCGTAGAATCTCGGTAAATGGGCAGAACGGTCAGCGGAAATCGGGAGGAAACGATGCAGGTCCGATGCAGCTGGAGAGCGTAAGAGCGTGTTCCCGATACGGAGATGTCCGCGAAGTGGTACTGAACGAACGATAATGATACGAAGCTCGGGCGCAGCGGATATAATAGTGCGAAAAAAAAACTGACGTTCGATAATATGACGCGCGACAAGTTCGTTGAACCCTTTGGTGAATCAAGGCAGTTGCCGCGGCAGTTGATTTGAATGCGTCATCTCGAGGGTGATCACTGCAGAGGATGATGCACGTCGAGTGATCTCGGAATTCGGATTCTGCGTTATACGCATCTCTGTGAACCTTGAATTATTTCAAAACCGTAAAAGGGACTTTTGTTCCGAATATCCCGATTTCAGCGGAAGATCCTCATAAATCTCTGTCGATTCGTGTGTTTGCTCGCCCTGTGTGTTGTTTCTCCAGTGCGGCTGGATGCAACGTCGAGGAAAGCCGTGAAAAAGATGCATATTTGAAGAGAAGTGGGGGATATTGCGCGACTTTTGTGTAGTGCAGCGTGTGCTTGGCAGCTTTTAATCGTCGATTGCATGTGGGTCACGAGTTGCGTTTGCCACAGCTAACAAGATAGAAGATTTACCGAGCCAAGAGGTAAGCCTGTTAACTGGCGGCAGCAGAACTACTGATGCAAAAACGATTCGTAGAATAAGATGGATTCGGGTATCAGTGTAAAAAAAAGAAGCTTTACATACACATACAACACATGCGTAAACAAATTTATCTCATCGATGTAGAGTAAAATTCAGATCGATTTTTACATTCAGTATTTTTAAATCAATTTAATGAACAGCTTCGCAATATAAGATCAATCGTTTTCTTGTCAAAATTTGGAAAAATTTATCTAAATTTAGATATTTTGTTCTATCCTATCCTGTAATCTATCTGTATTAGAAGAAGAGGCAAACCTTCGAAAAAATTTATTGGCCGAAGGAGATGTATACTATAATTGATTTTTGAGACAGTTGATATATAACTCTTCTTACAGCAATACATAATGGCAGGAAACTAAACAAGAAATTTCTATACTTGTATAAAGAGAAGAAATTTTATCTTAATAGACATATAGGATAATAAAATAAACGCGCATGTTTATTTAAAGATTTTTTTCATATCGATGATTATATGGTATCGTGAAGTTAACTTTGCAATTTACATATAGGCCGCGCGTTCGCTACTTGAAATTTAAATAAAGCACTAACGATGAGCGTCCCTTAAGATATGCAGCAGATTAGAGGCTGTTCTTTCCGGCACAAAGGGATCGGTAATGAGAACTACCGCAGTGTTTGCACAAGAATCGCGCTTCTTTTACCAGCGGTCCTTCGTGGGTTGCAGGGGCGTTCGCCCTGTCGAATTGTTTAAAGGAGAGAGCATTTATGTAAATGGCCAAAGTAAACTCGGAGTTGTGACAGTATCGATAATGGAGTAGTAAAATTTTAAGAGATACTAGTTTGCACGATCTTTAAATTAAATACACACTCTCTGTGCATTAATATTCAAATGATTTCTCTACATCATTATGCATTTCTTGACGTATAATTTACTGTAAAACAATATATAATGTAAGCTTTACTACAGTTTCATTTTCGCACGATCGAGTTTACATCTTATTAGATTTTCTATATATATATACATATGTGTAACAGCTGCTATAAAATCTTTACTAGCGATTGCGCGTATATGTTCCGTATCTCGAGAGATCCTACGATAAAAGACTGCAAAGAGGAAATGGCGCTCTGGCTCACTGATCTGTGAAATATGAGATAAAAGTCGATCCATACATACCAATAAAAATTGAAATAATTCGAACCGCTTCGAATCTTTGATTATCAAACGTTTCGATAGAAGAACTGTTTTTGACGATACAATTACAGAGATATTACGTTTATAAATTCTGTTGTTATTTAATTTTTAGACAACTAAATGCAATGCTCTACGTTCTTTCTAATAAAAAGAACAACTTTACTGACATTTTTTATACAACTGGAAAATGAAACAAACTGCGAAAAATCTCACCGTAAAACCAGGCTCACAATTTATGCTCTCCTGTACGCATTCTTTTTTCCTCTTCGATCTGGCAAGTGAATTGTCCACGTTGTATGAAACAAACTTTCCCATTAGGGAAATATTGCATTTGTATCGCAACGGCTACTTCGAATCGTACTGCCTCACGAGAGACTTGTATTTGCGTATGCGTGTTCGGCAAGCGTGAGGGTGCATTCGTTTACTTCTGTGAAACTCAATTTCACAGCTGCTATAATTGAATCTCGAGCGCGGACGTCGGATATAGGCGGAAACTCGTAAGGCCAATGTCGAAGGCCAAGCTCACTTTCTTCGACTAATTGGATTTAACATAGGCTGCGCGACGAACCGATCGTCGGATATCAAGACACATTTTAAGAAGAAAATATTATTTACACTATTAACTTATTATATCAATTAAAAAGCATAAAACGCATATTTTATGATATAAGTCGTGATAAGTGTTTTCTCAAATGCGTTAAAAATCTTGGAGAACACGCTAAAGTTCCTTAAAGCTTCTAATAAGACGGTTGATAAATCGAATGAAAAAACTAGGGACGCGGAAATAGATTATCTTGGAACAGATGTGCGAGAGCTGTGTTACTAATGCAACAGCGTCGAGGGAATGGCCAGTGGCGATCAGCAATCCCCTCACTTTAAGAAAACAATCTACAAATCGTTGCATTCGACGCCAGTATTTCTTAAAATCCAATCAATGTCTTATTTCCTGAAAATTATGCCAGAAAATAACGTGTATCGCCCCAATACAACGCGAACTTGCAGACAGATCCGATTAATTATTTGCCTCGACTCGGTAAATATTTAGCCTTGTATTATGCATCCTCCGCGAAATTTCAATCCTCTTAGATTGTTCGAAATTGTATGCATCGTAAATGTATCTCTTTAACTATCACTTAAATCTTAATCGAATACATTAAGATAAAGTAACTCATTACAAAGACATTGTAAGGAAAAATTGTAATCGATTTGTTCCTTACTTAAATCAGTATGTATATGAAGACTTGATAAAAAAAAAAGAAATTTGACAAAGTATTTAATATTTTATTCATTGCTCCCCTCTTTTTCCCAGAACAATTTTCTTCTCTCGATAATAATTCTGGAGAAAAAGGAAACATTCGGAAATGTAGGAGAATAAGATATCACGAAAAACTAATAAGAGAAATCAATACTATTACACATAGCCACTTCTCTCTCTGTATAAATGTATCTATTATATTAAATTTTTCGAGCATTTTTTTTTATAATTAACTTAAAAAAAGCATACAGCATTACTGACATTATTAAAGAATATTTATGATAATAAACGTCTCTCTGACAGTGATTCTTCCGTTGAAACAACATAATTGATCCGACAAAATGATATTTATGCGTGCTTTGTTTCAGGGATAGAAAATGTGGAGCTCGGTTACCGCAGCCGGCACTGAAAATGGACCAGCACCACCTTCGAGGAGCAAACATAGCGCTACCTTACTTGCGGGTCACGTGTATCTTCTCGGAGGTAGAAATGGAAATCTACCGCTCAAAGATCTTTGGCGATATAGTCTTGGTAAGAGTCTTTAAAGCTTCTCGCAGTTATATATATTGACTCTTACTATTTTATATGCATCACTGGACCTTTAACTATGTTTTTTTGGGAATGTAGAAAATCCGTTATATATAAAGAAAAAGAGAAAGAGAGATTAACGGCGATATTTCGAGTGGTTTGAAACTCACGATACAATACGAACATCGTTTCTCTGACCAGCGCACCCCATCGCATCCGCCGACGCACCCCATGGAACGAGGGTGCGCGACGGAATTTGAACGGGGTTCAGTCTGATCAATAATGCACCATTATTAAAGCCCACGTACATCAAGTAAATCCGGACAGACGATACTCCACAATTACGTGGTGTTTCCACGGAGATCAGACATACGCGAATTAATTGTGCCCGCCAGCCATAATCGGTGGCTTATCTACTTGACAGAGGGAAAGCTTTTACCTCCTTCCGTCGCTTTTAGCCATTTCCTGAGCACATGGGAGAGTCAGTGTCTTATTTCCAAACAATTAATATCTAATCACGATTTCCTTAGTTGTGTATCATATATAAAAACGTGTATTTAATTAAGAACGAATGATTGCTTTATTTATAGCGTAATGCTGCGAAGGATTATAAATGTTAATCGTCTCAAAGAGGACAGTGATTTATAAAGTGCAGTCAATGTAGCACAAATTCGCGCCCGCGTGCGTGCCATCAGCGGGATTCTTAATCAGAAGGTATTGTTCAGCCGTGCTTGTTCGGGTGAATATTCAAACAGCTTCGAAAGGGTTGGCGCTTCATTTTTTCCGGGCCAAACAATGTATTCCCGGCTGTCACTACCCTTTAAAGGCCTCTAGTTTTGTCGCCCTACTTGATCTTGCAAAAATATTGTGATAACTTGAAGAATTACGAGAGTACTCGTGAGCGGAACTCAGTTTTTGTTGCACCCTCTTTCATTATTGAAGTAGTCGAGGAATAACTGGAGGAGGCAATTCCTGGGGTTGGGGATGGGGACGGAGGCGTGAAGATACATCAAGAGAGATATGAGAAAATTTAATTGATAAAAGAAAAAGAATTGTTAGAAAACAAGAAAGCTGAAATATAAAAATTAATTTAATAATCGTATATAATTTTTTATTTGTATAAGAGAACAAAATTTGAAGTTTTCTTTATGCAATATTTCTATGGAAAATGTCTTTAGTATTCTCGTTCAATGTTCCAAAAGTACTTATCGAGACGAAGCTCTAATAGCTAAATTGTTTGTACAAAAGGCACGTATTTCCACTTGTTCCAAAATGCCGGATCTCTCTTGCATCAAACAAGCTGCAATTTCGCAGCGCGTGCTTTTAGACAAAAGAAGCTATTGTTTCACCGCCGAAGCTAGATACGACACGTGTACCATGTAATCAATGTCGGGCATCTGTAGTATCGTTCTAGCGGCGCTGAAGGTACTTTGGTCGGTAGTTACGGTTCTTACATGAGAGAGAGAGTCTTTGTTCTCGAGCACGTTTCGGTGAGAAGCTAAAGCATTCGCGGATATTCACTTGTTAGGTAATGGACGTTAGTACGAATGTCACTTACGAATAATATATATTTTTTCGTTCTTTTATTTATTATTATATTTATGAACGTTATTATTCCTCTCTCAAGAAGTGATTTCGCATAAAAAACTTTCTCTCTCTCTCTCTCTCTTTATCGTTTCGAATAAGATTCAAGAGGAGACATAAAGTGAATTGAATACACGAATACAGGAAGATAATAAATAATAGAGGTTGAGTGCAGCAATATTTTTAGTTTCGCTCCGATATTCAGATATACGGAAAGGTAATATATTTATTCTCATCCAATATAAAAAAACGCAAATTTATGCACTCCTTGGCCGAGCTTTTCCGCTTTTATATTTCCTGAGGGAGCGCTTTTCGCGATAATTCTGAAGAGCGCTCAAACATCTATTTTATTAATTAGGTCGAGAAGAAGAGATGATCAGATTTTTTAAATATTCTCTTCGTAAAGCATTATAATCGAATGATTCTGGAATAAATCTCTAATTTTCTCTGTATTCTCTCCTTATTTTCGCCTTATTTATCTTTGATTCGCATGCAAAATGTAGCTAAGTTATCAACTGCGAAACTTCACAATAAAAAAATATACGCGTGCGAATTATTGCGTCACAAAGTACAAGAATTGGTATTACGTAGTCTGTAACACACTCAAGTGTCGCGGCTCTTACTATGTTGAAAAACATTCTTGCGTTCTTTGCAACCGAAAACTAGGACACAGATTATACGTCGCTGTGACTATTAAAATGCAACGAGAATGCAGTAGAAAAAAAACTCGCGTATCGCTATGTTGTATTCTCATTCATTTGCAGAAAGAGAGAGAGAGAAAAAAGCGCACTCTCCGTAATAGCTGTACATAGTCCAAAATAAGGATGTCGTACTACATGACGCACACATTTCTCTTTCAGCGGAGAGCAAGTGGGAGGAATTGCATCCAGGGGGTGAGAGACCACCGGCTCTTCAGGAACACAGCGCGGTCGCTTACAAGGATTGCCTCTATGTTTTCGGGGGCGAATTGGGCTTCTCTGCCGGAACGGAAACACCACTCTGGGTTTATAACGTCAAGGTAATAATATACGCGAATGCGCTTCGAAAGTTTGTATGTACAAATGCGATCGTGTATACAAAAAGTTGACTTGCCGCGAATAATATCGCACTTAAGATGGATCATTATTGATGATAAAAATCGAGGCTTTCGATAACGATCGCGACAATCATTGTCGTATCGCTTTAACGAAACTCTTAATGATCCTCTTTGCGATGAGGGGAGCGTCGTCGTCGAGGAAAAAGCGAGAACGAGAAGAATCGCACCCTCGAGAAAGTCACTTAATCGATAGCATCAACGGCCATGAGTTTTACACGATAGTGTGTCACTTCCCCTTGTTTCTATGAAGTGACACAGAGAGAGGTGGTTTCGACAGCGAGTGACAAGCTGCCGAAAGGAAGCTTATTCGACCAACAGAGCGATTCTCGCGCGGATCGAGTACGTGTAGAAATTCATCTACCTACTGTTGTACAGTTATCCTATTGTTATCCGCGCGGTGTCAAGCACTCCTCAGGGAGGATAATAAGCGCGACGTGAAACGAGCAATGACACCGGGGGTGGTTGGTCTCTTCCGGTTACGAGGGAGACGTCATCTTGTGTGCGGAAAATCAATCCAAACAAACAAAATGATTCAGTTCCGATATCAACTAAACTCAGATTACGAAAATAAGTTTAATAATTCGTATCCTATTGTTATCCGCGCGGTGTCAAGCACTCCTCAGGGAGGATAATAAGCGCGACGTGAAACGAGCAATGACACCGGGGGTGGTTGGTCTCTTCCGGTTACGAGGGAGACGTCATCTTGCGTGCGGAAAATCAATCCTACGAAATGAACTCAGAATCGACTTAAACAAAATGATTCAGTTCCGATATCAACTAAACTCAGATTACGAAAATAAGTTTAATAATTCGCTATTTTTTTATATAAGAGATTTATAATACTATATGAATTTCAACAAAGAATTTTGTTTTTGAAAGATAATATATATAATAATGTTATATGCAAATTTGAACATGCAATACGCGTTACGCCATTGTATCACAGATACATAATTTCAGAGAGAATAAGATGATGGTTTATTGTTATGTGAGTTATTTAGAGTGTTGTTTGATTGAAGTGGTTATATCGTGATCTCTCAAACTAGTATATATTCCCGCAAATTTAAGGGAAAGGCAAAGGCATCGGTGCACGATATTGTCAATCAACTTTGGCGTAGTCGTCCAATATTGCCCTTCGTCTCGTTTGCTAAATCGAGAGGGTGCAAGCCCTCCTTCCAATCGCGGCTATGGCGGCTGCCCGGAGGCTGCCCGTCGCCTCATCTAATCAAATCGCATGGGTCGGTCTTAACTAAATCTCGATAACGAATTCAATGCGAATTCCAGACGGAATGCGTTATCTTCGCAAAAAGCATTCCAGGTAATATTGTATAAGGTACCTCAAATTAAATGAATGATTTTAATCGATACGCGTAATTTCGTCGTACATTTTTAAACGAATTTGTAAGATATCGAAGACTACAATCGGGACTACGTTAAATCGAATATTGCATTTTCTTGTCTGGGAATTGGATCTTCCGTTTCAACCTATTGCGTCTATTTGTCGAGAGAATGTCTATGTAACGATCCATTCATGCCTTGAGAGAATGACAGCAATGCATTGACATCGATGATGAACGAGGTGTCTCCTCGATGGAACACGTGGTTCGAGGCATTACTTCCAGTAGTTCCGGAGGTATTGGATTGCAATCGATCCGTAGAATATATAGTCGCGGTATTAGATCTCAAATTAATCTCGACATGGTTGATGATATCTCAAGCAATTTTTCAGCTATGTACTCTATATAACGAACTTATACAATTTAAATTATCATCAATATATAAATTCAAAATTTAATATAATTATGAATCTATAATCTTGTTTCTGATACGACTCTAATAAGGAAAAAGTTCAAAATTTCGAAAATTCCAATTTAACTTTTTTTTTTTTATAAAAAAGATGAAAAATCCAAGAGAAATTAAAAGTACATTATTGTAAGAAAAAAGAGATAAGCATTTTACATAAATTATTAATGTAATAGAATTAATGTTAAGAAAAAAAAACAGGCATTTCAAAATTTAGAAAAGAATCTCACAGATAATGTTATAAAATTTTATGGTGATTCTCTATTTGTTTTTTTTTTCTCACAGTGTTAACATTTGCTGACACAGCCTCTAATTTCATACAATATTCAGAGACGATCCACCTTTCGCGGGACCTTCAAGAGCAATTTAAGTCGAGGGTGGTTTTTGGCAACAGCTGGTGTTAACAGGCTTTCTCTCTGATTCGTACCCTTGAAACCAGGCGGGGTTTCATTCTCCCGAGGGTAGCGCCACTCACGTGCGAGGCATTAAAAATTAATAAACCCGCGTCGGATGCGAAACATCACGCGTCATCGATTCAGCGTTCTATCCGTTATTTTTTTATTTGAAGATAAAAAAGTAAAAATGCGTGTTTTTAAATTTATATTAAGTGACTCCAAGCTCTTTAAAAAAGTTGTTTTTTATATATAATTTCTCGTAAAAAAATCAAGTAAAGTCATCTAATCTTAGCTGTATAAATTTCATCTTTATATGAAATTGGTCGCTCTAATTTTTTTTTTTTGTCAGCAATCGCTAATTCACTTTTTCACTGGATGGGGTTCATTCATCGTTTTATTCTGACAATCTCTTTTATCTAGCGATTTTTATGCTCTATAAAAAAATTATATTTCTGGATCAAATAAATAACTATATTTTCTTGATAGAACGCACATTTTTACATAAAATTTAACAAGCTGCGAGTAGTTGAAGAGGAAATTTTGTCTAAATAAAGTAAAATTGTCTTGAATACGCAATTATCTTTTTTTCAGCTATTTTTCTTATGTCCTATATAAAGATTTTTTTGATTGGGTTACCATGATTATTCTTTTGGTCGGTTTGTTTTTAATCGTTGGACTGTGGAGGAAAAATTCGAGTATGTATTTTTCCTCCGCTGTTTCTGTCTGTTCGCCGTGTATTATTGAAATCCACGTTGTACGAATGCGCCTGGCAAACCTGATTGGTTAAGCTGCAGGGGTTGCTCGGCATGTTCGTTCTCTCCCTACCTGTCTCTTTCACTTTCCCTCTGTACTTCGTTAAAATGCTCCCTCGTTTAAGCGGCAGACAGAACGTGGAAGAAAACGCGCGTGTTGCAGTATATCTTCCGTTCTCTGTTTTTATGTATCTGTGGTTTGCAAAGAAAGATTATCTTTAAAATCTGCGAGTAATGAAAATTATGCTGTTTCCCGAGATAATAAATAATAAAATCAAATTTTTTAGCTTCTTTAAGATTCTTTTAGCAATTTTTTTTTGTCAAAAATTTATATCATAAGATATCATCTATTCACGTATATGAAAAATATATTCATGAGTATGTCTATCCCGCGGGATGAGTATATTTATAAACCCCTCGGAGCGAAACGGCCGCCGCTGTCATCTCTTTGATGTGTGGTAGCAATCAGGAATCTTTTGGACCCCTCACGGAATAATATCTATCGCGGAACGCTGGTTCCGTACGTGCTTTTGATATATGTGTGTTGATATGTGCGTGTTTCAGTGACAAAAAACCACATAGATATAGTTAGTATGCGCCTAAAATTATTTTTGCATTACAATCCCGTGAACCGTAACATTTCGAAAAAAAAAAAAATAAGGCGATTTATCTTCTAAAACACCGGTTAATACGCACGTACAAATTTTCTGCTACATTGAGCGATAAATCTTTTCCCGGGCGGGGAAAAGGGCGCAACGTATTGATTTCATCGATATGTGTAAATATAAAGGACATGCCAAGAGTAGTCTCTTCTGCGACACGCTTTTCATGGAAATTGTTTCAAGGTAATAGCAAGGTAAAAATAAATCCGCTTATATCATCTACCTATCCAGTATAACGATAGTCCATACATTTTTATGAAAATTAAGATTTGATGTACATATCTTCTAAACAATCTTTTCATATATCGTACACAAAATGTAATACGAAACTTCGTCTGAAACTTAATAAAATATTTCCGTCACACACATATGGTTTTATAAAGAGATTTGATTAATCGTATATATCTCTTATTATATTCTTCTTTCAAGCGCATATATCATCGTTTCATAATATATCCATGTTATAGTTTTAGTACTGGTGGCTTTGCATATTGCATGCATTCCTTCATCCAATTGCTATTCGTGACTAGATGAAAGCTCGAGTTATGAATGCGTTACCAGGCATTTCAGTTCAAATACTCAATATGGTTGTGCATGTCGCCATGCGATGCCTTTTGCATCGTTTCGATCCGAATAAATAAATACAGATACAGTGAAATATGAACGCGCTTTAACACGATTAAATGTTCATTTTATATTTAAATTTTCAAAAATTACGATAAAATGTCTTATTTCATTTTGTAAGTAATCAGGCAAAATTCTACCATAGCGCGTACATGCCTATGGAGAACGAGATATTTTGCGGAATTCGCATTGCAAACTGGTGAGAACATAATTCCACATCTCTATTCAGTGGCCGTGGCAGCGACGATTATTGCAGCCCCACGAGTTAAAGCCGAAGCTATTCAGACGGCAGAATTGGAGGGCTGCAAATTAGTGGCCTTTATTCCTTTTGTTACAGGCCACCCTTATTTCATATAACATTCACCAATGGTGAAAATGCAGAAACGTGTAAATCAGTCAAATCCGTCTATAATTATATAAAAAAATAAATTTCTCGAAATAAAAGAAAGAATAATCTCTATATACCTATAATGAAAAGCCTACCTATCTATGATTACGATTTTCAGACGAATACATGGAGAAAAGTGAGAGCTCAACGGGGTTGCGCAGTTCCTAGGGGACGAAGAGGTCACACTGCCTTGGTACATCGCGGACAAATGCTCATATACGGCGGTTATCAAGACTTGCGTGGCAGCGCTGCCGAATTGTGGGCCTTCCATTTCGGTAATTGTACCTCGTTAAATCAATAACGATGCTAATTTTTGCAGCGGCTCTAACTTATTCAACGTTACAGAGACTGAATCTTGGCACTTGCTTTCGTCGAGCGAAAGTGGACCAGCAGCGAGACACAAGCACTCGGCGGTTTTACACGGTGACGCGATGTATATTTACGGCGGAATGACGGATCTTCAAGAAAGGAACGATTGCTGGCGATGGGATGTCAACAGCGCTTCGTGGTCTATGCTGAAGAACAAACCAGGTCCTGGGCCTCTTCATGGCCACGCGGCGTGCAGACTGCCAAGTTGCATGCTGATCTTTGGCGGTGAGAGCGGCGGTTTGGCGACGAACGAGCTTTGGAGATTCCATTTTGGTATATATATCACGCTGCATTATTATATAGATTTTATCATAAATGGAGAACGAGAAGTATAAAACTGATATATCATTCTATTTTAGCTTTATTAGTTGAAAGTTTAAAATAAAAATATATTTACAGATATTTATTAGAAACACTGCCACTTATTATAGATTGTATTATAATTTTTTCTTAATATTATTTCATTTTTAATCTGCTTTTAAAAAAGGCAAATAGCTATGAAAAATGTAGAAATAATTACAGCAATATAATAAAAATCATATTAAAAAAAAAAAAAAAATGAAACGGATTTAAAAATTTATAAATATATTTAGTAAAATATCAAAATATTATCAAAGAAAGACTTTTTACTATTCTTTTCTTTATTACTGCTGTTAAAACTGTGTAATTCGTCAAACAAACTCACAGGTTCAAATTTTAAGAATCTTAAGAATCTTTGATACAAATCGATTTGAACATATAAACGAGCGACAAATGTATGAAACATTATATTCATGAGTAAATTAACTAACAATAAGCGGATAAAATTTATATCAATTTTGATATACTGCAGCATTTATTTGCTGAGAAAAAACGTAAGCTGATTTTAAAAAACCTTAATATCGTTTCTTTATATAATATTTTATAATTTTTACAAATGAAATATTTCGACACAGGCACAGAAACCTGGGAGAAATTGTCAGTGTCAGGACCGAAACCGCAGCCGAGGGCAGAAAGCGTCGCCCTCGCGGTGTCCGAATTATTGATTCGCGGAACAAGCATGGATAATTCAAAACCGAGGCTGAGGAATCAAAGGCCCAGGCTTTCGAGCAATAGAATATCGCCGAACGAGATACCCTCCGCCCGACCCAGCTTTCTCAAAGAGATCTCAAAATTATCGCAAATAAATCTATCGCGGCTCAGTCATCCGACGAAATGTAGTTACACGGTTCTCAGTGGACACGACGATAATGAAGAGAGCCCCCAAGAGGTATGTCCGAAAAAACCACGTGAATATTCCCGATAAACGATAAGTATTTTGTGTCAATTAGGCCTGCGCGCAGGCAAACACATATTATCCTTTTCAGCAAGTGGACATCGAAGTCGTGGAACCTTCCACGGGAATGGTTAAGTCACGCAGTGCCAACACGCTGGCCCGCCGAAGGCAAAAAGTGTCGGAAGGAACGGCGAGGACGATTGACGTCAGCAATACTAGCAATATTACCGCTTCTGGTATGACCAGAGATCCTATTTCAGTGCCAAATTTTCGTGCTTTGACGTTACCAACCCCGGTTCTCACGCCTGTAGAGGCCGCCAGATTAGTCTTCGTAGATCCGGATGAGAACAGCGATAACGAGGAGCGCAAAGAACCGCCTACATCGAGACTCATCGAGGTTCAAGAAGAGAGGCGGTAATTATATCTCTACATAATAATCGTATGCGGTTAATTAATTTGTTAAATGTCAGGATTATACTACATGTCGTTGCATCTGTTATACAGAGATTTCGCAGCAGTGCACCAAGCTTGCCAGCCTACACGCGGCGACAGCTACAGTTCGCATCTTTACGAAGCCGCTCTACAAACGCCGAAGACCCCGACGACGACAAAGATTCCGACCTCTGCGTCCGTCAGATTCGCCGATCTTGAGGAAGGCGAGGAATCGACGTCGGATTACGCGAGTATCGAGGCGAGAAGCCCGGGCGATCCGCTCGCGGACGACGACTGGCTGTCCGGAAAGAGATCGAAGCCGCATAGGCCGATCGTTGCCTCGTCGACGATACGGGAGGGCCAGTTCGGTTTCTGTAATCCGAATTATCTCGGCCTGGACGACACGAGGAATCATTATCACCATCACCATCATCACCACCATCAGCAACAACAACAGCAGCAGCAGCAGCAGCAACAACAAGATGGAAAATACGCCAAGTTGCTCAACAGTCCGCCCGACAGCGTGTTGGAAGACGAACCTGGTAGATCGGCTTCGCAAACCTTCGCGGAACTCTTGGAACTTCAGGAGATCAGAAGGGTGCCGCGGGAGAGCGGTGAGCGCGTCGAGGGCTGAGAGGCAAAGGGCGAAGGTGGCGGCGGTGGATGCGACTGACGCGAAGACGCCCTCCTACGGGCCGGCGCCCTTGTACGTTTTTTTAGTCGGCGGCAAAGAAAAGGGTCAAGTCACGGTGTTCGCCAGACCGGTCTCCCTCTGGAAGCTACAGTTGGCGCCGCATATCTTCTAAGGATGATTGATAGTCTGCTTTAGTTGAGTCATTCGCGCACCGTTAATGATAAGAAGAAGCCGGATGCGAGAGGAGAGATCTAGGATGATTAAGGCAAGCGTTCGGGCGGTTCAATTTTCGTTGACGTAGCGTTTTATACGAAGATTTTTTTTGACGATGTAAAATCGTCGCTTGATGAGATCGATTTTTCAGATGTTTATTCTCATTAATTTGATTATTAATATTACAGTTAATTTTATATATGCGTTCTTCGTTACGAAGCAAATATCTTTTTTGTATATAATTGGTTGAGATTGTTGACCTTTTCGTTCGTTAAAATTTACTTGCTATTGCCATTTGGGTTATACTCATATCCTTGTAAATACAAGGAATCGAAGTATCGCGTTTGATATGCTAAAAAATGAACAATGTTTTTGGAAAATGCCGTGTATGTGTTAAAGCGCAATTTAGAAATACATTTAAAAATAAACTTTATCGCGCAGAAAGTAAAAAACCTATCTTAAAAGAATACGTGTAATCACTGGGTTGAGAAATATAGAAATGTTCATTTTTTATTTAATAACGCCTCGATAGATAGATTAATACTAGATAGATGATTATAAATGTACGTATCTCTATAATCTAGAAATTAAATTTATAGAAAATTATTTCATTGCAATATGCATTATGCATCTCTCAATTTTTAATACCATTATTTAGCGTTTATTAATGATTCATAATTGTAGAAAATAACTTTTATTTTTTTTTATATAAAGAATGAACATCTTCTTACGTTTATTAATTCGGAAATATGAATGTGTGCGTCAAATCAATATATTCTTACTGTTACTATGAAACGTATATATTTAAGATAAAGTCGTGAAATACAATACTTTCGAATCGTGAGTTCATATTGAACTGGCCGATTCGAGTGTTCTCAATGTGAGTTTTGTAAAAAGATAAATGTTCAAATACAAGCGCAGATCAAGTTGACGATTGATTGTATCTATCATCCTTCAATCGTCACTGATAAAAATGCAATATATTGATACACGGTCATGTCGCAATCTTATATTTATTAATATCTGACTTTAATTTTACAATACGTAACTTATTCGCGTAATATGATAAAATATGAAACTTTCCGATCGTTAAGACTTCAAGTCATTCGCTGATAAACATAAGTCAAAATCAACTGGCCTGATCTGCGCTGGACTGCCATCGGATGCAAAAACTCAATGTGCGGTAAAATATGAATTAGAAAGTTAGTGTCAAATTCGTAAGCTTATAAAAATAGAATCGAAGATATCGATCAAAGTTTACGATCGACTCGTGATTGTTGCGCTTTAGAAATTATTATTTGACCAATTCTTCTATTCTCTGCAGTAAATAGATTTTTATAAAAAAATTCAAATTCTTTCCAATTTGAGAGCCAAATCAGTGAACTATAACTCTTTAGGAGAAACCGAATTTACTGTTCTTACGGATAATAGAAGAGACAGAATTTTTAATCTCGAAACTAAAAGATTACGTATATGTATATATATCCCAAAAATTTATTAAATTATTAAATTAAGATAATCTCCATCAATTTAAAAAAAAAATTAATGTTTTAAACATGCCAATAATTCTTTCGAGTTCGTTTTAAATCATTTATAATTTGCGACAAAAATCAAGACAAAGTTCTATTTATAATTTTATGTTCGCATATCCCCTTAATGTATGCGTATCCTGAAAATCTATGTATTTTGTGTACGTGTGTATTTTACTTAAAATGTTTTCTGTGTATTACGCAATATATAAAATTATAAATAGAATTCTGTCCCGAATTTTGTCGAGAATCGTAAATCATTTAAAAGAAGTTTTACATAAAGTGGTCGCTCCCAAATATTTGCCTGTTAATATCTCAAATTTTTTAGTACAAAATCTGGTAATATCATAGATATGAAAAATAAAATTTTAACTTTTGAGATTATAGAAACTAAATATTCTTATTTATTTTGTATTATGCATTACAGACATATAATGTGGCGAAGCACAAATAATTTTTTTCTAAGATAATACTGTTTTATTAGATGAAGAGTCACTGATATAACAGAGAACGATTGTGTTCCAAAAGAGATTAGTGTGTTAACGTCAGCGGTTTCGCATCAAATCGCGAATCGATGAAATCGAAAGTCTTTACCGTGATTGTATATCGATGATTGTAGTAAGTTAGTCTCAGTAAGCGTAATGTATAATATAAGTAGAGCAGATATATACGAGAGATGGCAAAGTATGATGGGGACTCTCTTGTTCGTGTAGAGTTTTTATGTCCGTAAAGGCCCAACACACATGTAATCCATCCATAAGTAGCTAAGGTCGACGTGGCTTCTCAATGGGCTAGATATTGAGAGATGCTTTTATCATTGATCTTCGATATAATTTAATGATCCTCCTCTGTGACATTTTGTACAATATTTATTTTAATTATCTCATATTGTTTATTTTACAAAACAATACGACGATTTAATTATTATCGGGCAAGTGCAATATTAGGATTGTTTATAAAACTGAATGCTCATAAATAAAGATTTATTACAAACACATCTCTCAACTGCTCATCGCAAAGCGACAATTATATCGAAAATTTGAAAATATGCAGTCGCTGCTAAATTACGAAAGTTTGGTGCAAAGAATGGGTTGCTCAAAAAGAAATTTGACGTATCGTTTCTTTCGGAAAGAGTCTCCCGATATCTAGTCTCGGGCCTCGAATACCCGAAAAATCAATGTTTTCCATTCTTAGAGCTAGTCAATTACATCTCAGTGTACAAAACTTAAGCTGTTAATGTTTCGTACTACTTCTTCACTTTTACTGCATTTACTCTCGTATAGACATTTTACCTCCGTCGACATCTTATTTTCTACGATTTAGCGAGTCATTCATATATTGTCGCAAAAAAGAGAAGCTGTGAATTTATTCCACAATACACATTCACTTCCACGATCCATCCAGACGCGTAACAACGATTTTGTCTATACATGTCCTTCCCATAACCATCCGGTTACAATTAACGACGATTACATACGACGCGCTGATTTTGCGAAGAGACGAACAATAAACTTTACTACACTGTGTAAAAATCATTCAAGAAGTGAAAATAGATGAAGTTAGCGTACTCTTTCTATAAGCTTAAACACGTCCGTTGGCATAATTTATGTGCCGCCATACAAACTATCGATTGAAAGGCAAACCCTTCCTATATAGTTCCATATCACAGAGCGCAATATTTTTTCAAAGACCAAACTTTCGAATAGAGAGAGAGAGAGGGAGAGATAAAGAGAGAGAGAGAGAGAGAGATGACTCTTATTCTTAATTATTTCTATGTTTAATATCAAGACAATATATATACGCGAATGTATCATGGTTGTACGAAGCATCGGAAATATAGGCAGACGAATCAATCGTACAGAGAGAGGTACTTTTAAAAAATATATCAGATCAAAATTATTGCAATTTTACGAGATAAATATAAGTACAAATATTAAAAAAGATTAGATAAATGCAGATAATTTTTTCTATGGAAATAAAAATTCTTATAAACTCAATATCTGTTGATATTTTCGATGCTTGGCTCATGTATGTAATATAGGACAATTCCTTGTAGCTAGTTAGCTACAACATTATGCAGGTTTATTCTCCTATAAGATTGGACGAATGTGTTTACGTAATGTATATGCGAGCATAATTATAGTAATGATATTGTGTTCATGCATCCTTTTAAATTTGAATGTCGATGCGAAGATATGTGGCAATTTTCAACCTTTTGGTTCTTGTAATAATTAATCTAGTTAATTTTTAGTTCAACCGCATTGTAATTAATGTAACAGTTATTAATGGAACAGTATTACTATAATACGAATAGTCGTGTCATTTTAATATGCAATCATGCATGTCTTCCATTATTCTATGTTTCCATTTCGTATTTTGATAAACTAGAAATTATGTTTATATTTTATACGAGACGTATATAACTATATTACATGCCCTAATCTATAAAAAAACCAAACAGAATTGTGAGTCTTTCCGAATGACTTTTTTTATTTTATACGAGACGTATAGTTATATTATATTAATAATTATATTACTCTAGTCTATAAAAAAATTAAACAGAATTAATTGTTGTCTCCGAATGATTGAAAAATAAATTGATATATTAAAAGATCAAGAAATGTTACCGACTTTTGAACAAGTTACTACGTACTATCGTGAGATAGCAGCAGTAGTTCTAACGATGTAAAAGGAAGGAAGAGCAAATCTAAAAGTCGGTATATAATGACGAACATATTCGAAAATTCGCTTTTGCTATTTGTTTGTTCGCTCAGTATATATTTATCTTAAAAAAGGTAAACAGAGCTATTAATCATGCATGTCTTCCATTATTCTATGTTTCCATTTCGTATTTTGATAAACTAGAAATTATGTTTATATTTTATACGAGACGTATATAACTATATTACATGCCCTAATCTATAAAAAAACCAAACAGAATTGTGAGTCTTTCCGAATGACTTTTTTTATTTTATACGAGACGTATAGTTATATTATATTAATTATGTTTGTGCAATCGCGGATTCTTAATTTTCTTTCTTAACAAATCTTTTTATATTTTGATATAAAAAAAAATAATATAAAAGTGTAACAAAAAAGAAACGCTCTTTTTCATACGATTTATGAATTAAACTTCAATTTTATAAGCAATTATATTTACTATTTTGCGTAATTTTGCGTAAAAAAGCTGCATAATTTAACAATCGCCGGATCTAGTTTCATTACGAAAAATTGACTTAAGAATTTAACCGATAACAAAACCATTGGCACAAGGACGACAGGGCGCAAATGTTCCTTATGTCCTCATACTCTCGGGTGAAAATACACAAAAGTCAGGTTGCGTAATGAAGATCCGTCACAATGGCGGCGGCACGCTTTGACCCTACGGCTATTCTCACGGTCAGGACGCACCAGTGCATTCGAACTTACTGTTTGATCTCTTTTCTTTTCTCTTCTTCTTGCTGATGTCGACGCAACAGGTCGTATTGTCACAAAGTGTCGTTTCTCCTAACGTATGAAATCACCGCGCGCACCGGGATACCTTCGATACGATTCGAACCGCGCGGAATGCACAAATTTATAGTCCCCCCCCTCCCCCTCTCCCTTCTTCTCTAGAAGTCCGACACCTGCTTCTCTCGGGCCGCAGGTACAAGACGCTCGTTTCTATCGCAAATGATGATAGAAATTCCGAAAGTCGCGTCGAATTCTTTGTCGGAACGCTCATCCCGCTAAACGAGGTGTCAAACTCGCGTTCCTACCCATGTGAGTTTTCACCGAACGTTTGTTGTAATAGAATCGAAAACAAAGACCGAATTCAGTATTCCCTGATGGATTATTAAAGGCCGCGATCGGCTAGTCCTTTGTCTGTAAACGACGCGTAACAAATGGACTATGTATTCTGTCACAGTTTATAGCCTCCGTAGCAGCGCTTGGCCAAGATTGTTCCGCTTCTAGTTCGGGATATGATTAATGAGTTCGTTTTGTGTTCCTTAATGTGCAGAGGCGAATCGAAACTATCTTGCTCTCGCAAAAATGTAATCACAAAATTTTATTACACGCTTCTAATAGAGAGAGAGAGAGATGGCAAAAAAAAATGATTTGGCGATATCATTGTGTAACGGATTTTTTAACATACTTTCAATATAATAAACATATCTCAGACTATTAAGAGCACATAATCATTTAAAAGTAGTTTTGTATATATAAATAAGATAATATTTAACAATTTACTTTCTCTTTTCTTGAAGATAATAAATGCAACTACATAAGAAATATTTATTTAAAATGCAATAATAGAAGTTAATGTGTAATTAAGATAGTTTTAACAATTATATTAGATATTTTTATTTGGATTAATATTCAAACTTTTCAGACTTATATTCATTATATTTCGAGTATTATTTCTTGTCTTATCTCAAATATCATTCCAACGAATTATTTTGACACTTATTCATGCGTTTAAACATGTAGTAGTTTTAATTATATGTAAGTAGTTGTACTATCTAAACAAATATATATATATCTCTTTAATGCTCTAATCTTATTTTTAAGCTCTGGTTTACAAATCGCAAGATTAACTCGTCTTCTGGTGACGCTGAATCGAAGGGATGAACCATAATCCTCTTTCGGCAAGTCAAACATTTCTTCGTTGTTAATGTGATCGATGCCGTATTGTTTGTTTGAAAAGAATATAAATGTATCGCGTTACGTGATTAGTCTATATCTCAAGCTGATTAGATAGAGGCTCAGCTGTTAAAAAAACTACTTTTATTTTTTTTTTATTTTCTCTCTCTCTCTCTCGCACGCGATTTCGCTTCTTTCTCCCAATAGAGTACTTTCTCCGTTCTCTTTTTCATTGTTTTCTTTCTACTGTTTAATCTATCGTGAATGAATATTGCAAACCGCATACACAAATAGTTTTCATCAAAACAAAATATCAGTTAGAATAAGCCTCGTATAAAATTGTTTGTGCAAAGACGAGGACCTTTCGAGATTCTTTGAAGATAAGTCGACGATTGTTAGGCTGTCAATATGATGACTGTCATTAAAGAAAAACCTCTATCGTCACCCAGAAATGCGGAGAAATGTAGAAAGGGAAAAGTGAAAAAATACATAGCTGACAATAGTCAGTGACACAGAGAATAGAATATTTTAATTTATAAGTATTTACTACATTTAAAAAGTAACTTAAAATTGTGTTTCTAATATCAAAAATATTTTCTAGAAATTTTATATTCTTTTGTGTTTTTTTGTTCAAACAAGATAGTTAATAATAATTATTAAAATACATAAATTAAAGTATAATCTAATTATGTTCTTTTTTATTTAACCTTTCGTTTTTCAATCAATTTTCAAAAAACCTTTTATGTCCAATACTGGACCCTTCTCTATTTCATTTTCAATTTGATAAATTCTGATTAGCGACTGATCATTTAATTATACCGCCAAACGTTTCACATTTTGTCGGCGAAGCAGTCGGTCAGAAATTAGAATGGCTCTCTACGGGATGGACGAGAGGAGAGGAAAAGGGGGGGGACAACATATTTCTTTTCGACCGTAACCGTCTTTCGGCACTCTTTTATGAATCAGGTCGTCGGTCTCAACGTATTGATACGATTACGATACGGTTTCGTTTTCGAGAAACCGTATATTCCAGAAAAAGCGTGCTTTCCAAGAGTTTGCTACATAATTTAAAAGCGTTTATGGTTTGCTAGAAATCGGTTCGCTCGAAGATCGTTTTTATTAATGCCATCAGAACATGTGGTTGTATGCTTTACGACTTGTTGGATATAAAAGAAATTCCATCTGTATCTTTGATTCGAAAAGATTTTATATTAATGCGGCAATTTTTGTTTGTTGAAAAGAGGGAGTCGCAATGAAGAATAATCCTACATCTGTCGCAAAATAATTACTTATGCCTCATCGAAACATACCTAGCATCGCGAATATTTCATCGTATTAGAAGTTATATTTAAGAAAAATATGATTTCATCTCAGTTATCGAAAAATAATTTTTCTAAATTCGTATAATTATCAATAAAGAATCAATTTTAATTGCGATCTAATAATTTACACCAATGTAAAGGATTCTGAAAGAATACGAGGAAAAACTCATTCTTAAAAATATTTTATATTTCCTAAAATACATTTTTAATCCTATGGTCTTAGAATTTCTGCACAATGTCTTTATTCATTGTTACTTTTTCGCACGTCAGCCATGCTTTTAGAAACACAATACAATTCATTGAACAAAGGTAGACTGTGACTGTTTCTCTTGTAATAAAAAATATGTTTTATATGCAATTCTTATTTTTCTATTGCAAAAATCACGTTAATTTTAAATATAGATTATATAGAGACTAACAACGCGTTATAATAATACAACTTTGATGGAAAAATAGACTTTAAAAATTTTCTTGAATTTTTTTTATTTGAATCGTACTTGGTCACAACAAGATTTAATTCCTTGAATTCTTTTGCCTTCGATCTGTTACTTCACAATGCAAATCTTTTTTTCTCTTTTCTCTTCTCAGCCCATC